TGGGTGGAAACTTACAGATTAAGGGGCGGTAATATTATAATGAGATCCTTTTGCCACGTCACCAAGGGAGCGAAATCAGATGCGCTCGTTTTCTCAGACGCTTGCAGAAAAAGGCTTACCAAAACAAAGTTACTGGGTTAATCTTTTTCATGCTTCCTTGGTTGGTAAATGCACCGGGGACCTGATTATAGCACTTAAAACCTGGAAAAGTCAGATTTTCATGATATGTCACCTTTAAATTAATTTACACTATTTTTAAACAAAATACTCAATATATAATCCATAAATCACTTTTATTTTTTAACATACAGAGTCGCAGTTCTGTTATGTACTGTAGCACAAATATTGTCTGTCTGAAAGCTCAAAATTAACCTGCCTTTGCTTACAGCCTGTAGGTGCAAGTTCTGTGAAACAATGTTTTAAATGAGGTTTTTTACACTACTGTGAAGTCTAGACACAGATTTAAAAAAGTGTTTTATTGTTCCTTTGCAGCGAGTGTGGGACGAGTTGGACCGTTTACACACTCGTCTGACGACAGTTGAGGTGGAGCTACAGGATGTGAATGAAATGCATCCAGACGAGTGCCGCCTGTTATTAGACAGCATGGCCAACACTCAGCAGACCCACACACACCTCACCAAACAGGCCGAACAGAGGACTACCTTCCTCAGCAAGGTCACCTGCTCAGACTCCCATGATGCTTTGCAAAAAAGTTAAACATGACAGAGTCGAATGAAAGGAAAACAGGAGTTTCAGTGAATAATAACTGAATTATGACTTCAGTTGTGTGTTATCTAAAGTGTGTTATTTAAACTGTCTCCATGTAGGTCCGTGACTGGATGCAGGAGCATGAGGAGATGTTGAAGGGGTCACAGAGCTGGATCTCAGAGGCTCAGTCTTGGCTTACGACACCCTGCACATACACCACTGCCAGATGCCTGGACAGTCATGTGAATGCACTGCAGGTATTATCCTCAGACACGTCATTATCATTTAGCTGACTGCTGAAGAAACCTGTATCATCCCACTGTGGGGTTTAAACTTAGTATTTGGTTACTGGCCCAGATCTTTGTATTAGGCTAAAAGTGCTTTATCATTTTCATGTCAAATAATACTCTACATGTGTATGTGTGTGTTTTAGATGGTTCTGGATGATTCTGCTCAGATGAGACTGGCTCTGCAGGGTTTCGGCAGTGTGCTGACAGAGATGGGAAGTGTTTTTGATGTCAGTCCATTAGAGGAGCAGCTCTCAAATGCTGATCGACGTGTGGCAGACATGCAGCACAGCCTGCTGGGACCTCTCTCTCAGCTGGAGCATGCAGCAGCAGTGAGCACACTGACGTCTAATAAAATAAATGAGGATATACCATCGACTTCTTACATACACACACACACTTAAATATACATAATTATATATTCGATTAATTAAATAATTAACTTCAATTAATTAGTTCGTTTATTTTAGGAATTTCATGAATCTGTGAATTTCATCTGTTTATGTGTGTGTGTGTGCGTTTTTAAGGAAGTGGATGCCATTGAGTCAGAGGTGAAGGTCATGGAGAAAGATGTGGCCAAAATCAAATCTACTTTGACCACCAAAGAAGACATCAGTCGGGACTGTCTAAAGGTGAAATAAAATTTTGCCTTGTATTTAAACATTTGACCAGACATGGAAATGACTAAAATGATGTAGTTACTATCAAGCACCTGATTCCTGTGGGTGTTTCATGTGTGTTTGCAGTCAACAGAAGGCAGGATTGACCTGATGAAAAGGACAGTCGCTGAGATTCAGAACTGTAAGGATGGTCTGTGTTTACCTGACAAAGCTGAAAACACACTCCTAGTGTTCAAAAAAGCAAAACTACTACAGAAACAACTGCTGGAACTTGAACAGGTAGACATATACAGTATATGAACACATAAGCATACAAACACAGTTTACACAATGCTCAGTATTATATTTGTCTCCTCTCAGCTGGCTCTAGAATACTTGATTGAGGTACAGGAGACATCTGTCCCACCTCTCTGTGTCACACCCCTCAATGCACCGGCCCTCAGTGTTCCACCCACAATCACTGAGGAAGACACACAGGTCAGACTAAATACTGTTAGAATCTAATGATCCAGAGGCAATGATTACATACTGATTATAATATGTGTGTGCAGGAGAGTGGTCAGATTCAGATTGTGCATGTAGAGGAGGACGCGTTGAAAAAGTCAGGAGCTGCGCTGATGACGGTGGAGCAATCCACACTGGAGCAGAGGCTCACCTGGATCTCTGAGAGGAGCAGCCATACCCCCACAGAAACACAGGTATGAGAATTAAGAAATAAGGTGTATAAATATAAGGTACAGTATATAGTCATGACTAAAGGGCTTTGTTGGGCACAGAATGCATAGTTTATTTAATTATTGCTTTCATAAAACAGTTACTTTAAAACAAAAATATATAGGTAAAAAACAAAACAACAAAAATAGACTGGACATATTCATTTTATAATGCATTTTATAATAATCTTTTACATGTGGTAAGAAACACTAATACTGAAAATAATCATATTCTTGTAGTTATTTCCACATATTTATTATAAAAATGTTAAATGTACAATAATCTACTTTGTATTTTTAAATTAATGTTCATTTCTATTTATATAAATGCACAGATAAGCTGTTAGAAAGCCAAAAATGTATTTATTTGATCAAAAATACAGTAAAAACCGTAATATTGTGAAATAGTATTACAATTTGAAATAACCCTGTTTTAATGTATTTAAAAGTGCATATTTATTAATATAAATTAATATATTTGATTAATTTATATCTGTGATGGCAAAGCTGAATTTTCAGCAGCCTCTACTCCAGTCTTCCGTGTCACATGATCCTTCAAAAATTATTTTAATATGCTGATTAGGTGCTCAAAAAACATTTCCTATTGTTATCAATTATGAAAATGGTTCTGCTGGTAATTTTTTTTGGAAACCATGTTACTTTTTTCAGTATTCTTTGATAAATTAAAGTACAAAAGAACAGTATTTGTTTAAAGCACAGTGTTTGTTTCTGTAAATGTTTTTATTGTTCTGTCTGTCTATCTGAGGAAACATCTCCATAACACCAGTTGATGCAATGTGTGTCTCTGTGGTTGCATGGTTGTGTTCATGCCTGCTGCTGTGCATGTGTGTGTCTCTGATGGGATGGGACAGCAGGAGCCCGAGGAAGAGGAGGAGCTCTTTGATAAACCAGGAGATGGAGAGGAAGATGCTTCAGATGAAGATTATGAAGATTGCGTAAAAAATGAGGATGAGGAGGCAAGAGGAAGGTCACCCACCTCTCTGAATTCTGAGGCTTCCTCCAGCATGACTGTGGAGGTAATGCAGAGGGATCAGAGACTTCAGCCCTGGACACCTCCTGATGTTTCCTCTGCTTTCTACTGTCATGTTTTCTACATGCTTACTCTTTCCATCACATGGTTCATAGTTCTGCTTTGTCACATCTCAGTGTTTTTTTTGTGTGGTTTTTTTTTGCTCCTCCAGTTTAATATAAATATTATCCTGATTTGACTTTTCTTAGTGCAGTTTGATTAGATGATGATATTCCTCATCCCCTAGGGGGCAGTATGACTCCATTCTTTAATTGAGTCTGCATTTATTATTTTTCAGATACTCCCTGTACTTGAGAATCACAAGTGCTGTGATCTCCATTTGCAAATGTGGCATGTGATGAATAATTTTAAACATTATGCAAATCTAACTTTTATTTTGGTCTAAAATGTAATTAGTATATTTATAGAGTTTAGCTTAAATCTGTTTTATTAAAAATTTTACAATTTATGTACCTTTGCTAAACCATGAGTTACATGCATATACAATCCCATGATTCTGTCATGCATAAGAGGTTTTCATAGGCACAATGTAGAGAACTCTTATCCATGGATAAATCAGTATAATGTACAACATATTGAGCTTTATACATTTATTTAGCAAACTCTTCAGTTTGATACTAGACTTAATCTGTCTTGGGTAACCAATCATGTGATAGACATTAATGTTTTTTTTGTGTGTGTGTGCAGGACTCAGTTTCTGCTGACGTGGTTTCTTCTACAGAACAGATTTTGGAGAAAGCAGAAGCAACAAACTCAAAGGTAACACTAGACCTCTATAGTAATGGCCGTTCTTAATTTGATCACATTAATGTGTATGTGTAATATATTCAGGAGCAAAATCATTGCTGCCTTGCAAGCTCTGAAAAAAAATCTCATTTGTGTTCTTTAAAAAGTGTAAAGTGGCCACTTAAAACGATTTTTTACTTTTTGTAGTCTTTTGGAACTGTGGCCAGATATCATATCAGAGTATGTAAGCTCTTTTTCCCTGTGTTTGCAGGTAGAAGCAGATACATCTGTGGCCTCGGGAGCAGGTGTATCAGAAGCTTTATCTGAAACGGATGCCTCAATGGAAAGCCAGTCTCTTCCTGCAGACATGGTAACCAATACCTCCTCTGTTACAGAGATCTCCACGTCTCCTTCCAGAGGCCAGCAGAGGTGTTTGGTCTCCTAGTTGTAGTTCTCTCCTTACAGAACCTCCATGTCTTAACTCCTACCTCTACCACCCCTAGATGTAGATGTTTCTAGAGCTAGAACTCTATTCCCAGTGCATTTACATGGCAGATGTGTAAAAAAATAAAGAATTCTGAGGAGAGAATCTCTTCAAATAGTTCAGAATTGAGTTCACAATAACGAAACGAGGGTAAAATTAAGCTAAATATTTTTATATAAATCAAACAAATCAATGTTTAAAAAGGGCTTAAAGCGACTTCCTGAGGAGTTTATTATTTTTTCAAATATTTTTTATGATGTTGATTAATTCTGTCAGGATATTCTGCAGATCAAGAGAGAACATTATACCAAATGTTCCATATGGTGTAAATGTACCATAATTCCAAAGAGCATTTTGAACTTTTGTCTATTTCCATAATATCAATGTTTACATGTTATACCGTGTCTTTACATGTGCGGTGTTGCACAATAAAACTGGATCCTATTATAATCAACTATATTATAACGGTGTTTTCACACTTAGCCTTGCTCAACTGAATTTTGCCAAGAATCTATTCTGCCAGCTAGCAAACAAACCAACCCTAAATAACTGATTTCTAAACAGATGTTTTATTCATGTATTTATAATATTGAAGTATAGTGTTATAGAAAAATGGCTGAATAGACACTGACAGAATGAGCACCTTGTTGTGGATTTTTTTGCTCTTTGGCAATGATATAAATCTCTGCCCACACAGAAGTCACTGCCAAACCAAGAGGCTTGCTATTGGTCAGTGCTACGAATTGTCAAAGTTCACCAAATCTGAACCCAACATAAATTTCAACTTTGTGAATAGGGAAATAATATTTCGCCACCAGAAGGCCATCAGGCAAAGTTCATTGTGATGAATTCAGTAGAAAGTTAACCCACAAAATTTCTCAGAGCAACGATAAATATGACCTTAACATTTCAAAACCACAATTTTTTTATATACGCTGCACAGTAAGTCCCGCCAGTTTCCTATAGATATAAAATTATTTTATTTACAAATTTCATTGTGTACTACCAGCCAAAAATTTGGACACCTACTTTTCATTACCTTTTCATTATTACTATTTTCTGCATTTAATTGTAATTATTGCATTAAATGTCTTGATTTTTGTTAACCAGGAAAATCAGTGCATTTTTCCATTGCATGGTATCTTCTCATTGACATTTAACTACTAAATACAATACTATAATACCAAAAAGAACCTAAATTATTTTATATGGCATGTATTTATTTTGGCTTTTTGTATAGCAGTTTTTGTTTTTTTTTTGAGTTTCCTTTTATCCAAATGCAGGATAAAATGGTTACTCTAAAAGGATTGTTGAACAGAACAGTGAAACAAATGTAATGTGAACATTAAAAGTCAGTTAATCAATGGCTGCTCACTCTGCACAGTTATGTCTAAATGCATGTGTATTATGATAAATTCGTTTTTCATGAATGATTGCTGTTTACATGACACATTCTCTAAAAGTAAGCCTTTTCCTTCTCAAGAATATTAGAAGAATAGCAGGACATGGTTTATTTATGTTTAGTATTTAGTCTTTTTGTGCCATGTAAACGCACTGACTCTTATACACACTTGTGCATGTTCTCCTGATCTCTCCCTCTGATACCTCCTGTGTGATTACCATCATGCTCCTTTCAAGTCTGAAAAAAAATAAATTCCAACAAAAAATTCACTCTTGCTCGTCTCTCTCTTTCTCTGTCTGTGTCAGGAGCAGGGTGCATGGAGGGGGGAACAGACGCCACACACCAATGACACACTCACACACATGACACTCGTAGACAACACAAAGAAACATTCAGAGTCACAAACCCCACCCACAGAAACAGAGGACATGTTGACCTCACCTAATGTCATGACCTCTGATGAAGGGCTGGGTGATCAGAGCCTGAGCTCCACAAACACACCATCAGACAAACCACCTGAGAAACATTTAAACACTCTGACACACACTACTCCATCAAATGCAGAAGACCATAGGTTAGAGAGCAGAAGCACACACGACACACACACACCAATTACAGTCAAACCCTGCCTGGAGAGAACAGAGCCGCTGGCTGCAAGTGCATCTTTGGTAAGCACAGATGCTCATAGTGAATCTCACCCCACTGACTCACACTTGACACAATTACTCGCATAAATCTGAGTGTGTGTTGCATTTTATCTGCACATTTCTCTTTGCTCACCCAAACGAGAAATTAATTATTTCTTTCTTTGTCTTACACTAGAATAGCCTATTCAGTGCTATTCTTGCAGTCTGAGATCTCAAAGATTGGATTCAGTAACAGGAATTTACCTTTGCAACTAGGTGATTCCTTAAAAATAATCCTTCATTAATCATTAATGATTATTAATAATTAACAGCTTGACATGTACTATTATTAACATTATTATTACTGTTACTGTGTGTTAAACAAACTGCACAGAGTCAGGAATCCATCAATATGCAGAAAATATTTAATGGGATCAATTTATATTTTTCTGCTAATGTCCACTTATGTTAATCTTTTTTTTTTCATCCAAAAAAAGCCTTAGTTTATTTATGATTGTTTTGCTCTCTGATTGTTACAACTGAGCAGGCCATTTTTTGCTGCTGTGCCTTTAATACTACTATGTAAATACCCTCTTTGCATATGAAATGAGCTAAAGTTAAAAATAAACATCATTATCATTAGTCCTGGTATTTTACAGTAGAAATCCTACTTCCTCATTAGCTTACTCTATGAACACAAGACGTTGTTGATGTAAATACGGGCAGTCGAGTGTTGAAATATGTCTGTCTGACGTCAAAAAGTGAGTAATCTTGCATATTAGTTTAAATAAAAAGTCTCTGTGGACTGGGAAGGAAGTTTGGATTTCTGAAAGTATGTTTTCAGAGTTCAAAGAAAAGAGTTTGTTAAAATATGAGCCAGGACCATAACCACCAAAGACACTGAAGGGGACACGTTCCCAACAATATTCAGGTTTGCGGTTCATCAATATAGGTTTTTCCAATGATTGGTTCTTAAATTATTATATTAGGTCCCTACTAATAATCTATGTGGCTATATTTCTGATATATGGAAGTAAAATCTATGAATTGCAGTAATACCAATAAGTTTAACAAGATATTCTGTGACATCTAAGAGGGACAAAAGCAGGGTTTTTATCTAAAGCTAGAAAGAAATAAAGTATAATGGAATAGAATAAAGGATGAAAAATAATTTAGGCTATTTGAGTCAGTTCAAGGCAAAAGTATAGTTCCTCCTTTATATGTGTGTGAGTGTGTTCCTTGTCACACAAGCTGCCCTTGAAAGTGACGACATTCCAGGAAGTAGTTGTAGCCCCAGGTGGGTGGAGTAAGGGACAGACAGACAGAGAGAGAGAGAGAGGGAAGCTACATGACAAATGACTAGTATGAAAGCTGAGACAGTTTATTGAGACAAAGACTACACCAGGGGGCAGAGAAACAAACATAAGGGTTAAACATGTGTGAGACAGAAACTGAGAGAGAGAAAGAAAGCAGAGTGTGTGAGAAAGTGTGAAAATTTGTTTGTCTCTGGGTCAGAGGACACACCCAGTGTGTGTTTGTGTGTTTGTGCTGCTGTGAACTCATTGTTTCTGCTGTAGTCAACCAGACCAGGTGTGCTCTCTCTCTCTCTCTCTCTCTTTTTCAGTACACCTGTCTTCTTCTATTATCCATCTATTATCGTGATTTTCTTTTCTCTCTTCATGTTCTGGCTCTGAGCTGCTGTTGTGTATGATTGTCCAGGCCGTAGGTGAAGCCGGGGGCTCAGGTGGACGGTTATCCAGTGATGGGCTGCTCTATGCCTGCCGTGAGAGGGCCGAGCAGCTGGAGGTGTGTCTGGAGAGAGCACAAGTCAGCCTAGAGAGGTCGAGACAGCAAGCACAGGACGCAGCCATGCAGCACTGCATTGAACAACAGCTTCACAACTGCCAGGTGATCATACACACACATATACCTGCATTTCAAAGGTCAAGGAAATGTTTTAATATTTTATTTATCTCTGCACATGATAAAATGTATACTGAGGTTATTATAGTTAACTAAAACCATTTGGAAAAAAAAAAAAGTTAACTGAAATAAAATAAAATATAAAAACTTAAACCAAGGCAACATTTCTCTAAATTAATTTACTAAATTAACGTACTAAAATGACTAAAACTGAAATAAAAATTACTAAAATCTATTCTGACGTATTGACATAAAAGAATGACAAAACACACACACATATTCTCTGCCTACTGTTGTTGCTGATGCTGACTCAACAGGACAGGAAGTGCTCAGAGCTGAGATCTGTCACACATTGAGCCTGTTTATATATTTGGCTCTGTTAAAAATAAAGTTGCCTCTAAACCTGCCATAAGTATCATAGACCAATCTGACACTATCATACTATCTTCTTCTAATGTTTCTGTCTGTAAAAGTAGAACTGTTCAGTTCTTTAAAACTTTAGAAGACTTCATTATCAAGTTCTGTAGAAATCAGTTCTCTCCTATATAATCAAGTCTTTCACTTTTTCTTGGTGCCTTGCTCTTTCAATGCCTGTCTTATTCTGCAGTGTTTTACAACTGTGAACTCTTTTACTGCTCGGAGATCAAAGTGTGTTTGCTGATGACAGTAATCACAGGTCACAAGCTCAGATCTCATGATGTACATTTAAACACAATGGAGTAATTTTTTTATGATTGATAGACTCTCAAAAGTTATTTTAACTATTACAATTTTGGTAAGACTGAAAATTTATTATTTGTTTAGAATAATAGTTGCAGTGTACAAAAATACTTATCGGGAGCAGATTAGATTAGGTTAGATTGGTTTCAGTGACTATGGAAACAAAATAATTATTTTATTTTATTGTCTTATTTGATGTTGGATAACTGCTTTTGCTCTTAATGCTACAGTACATCACTGCAGTTAAATCTTAGCGCTTAAATGCTTACAGTTACATGCTTATATTTGTGTGTTTATAAGCATTAGGAATGTAAATGCACAGTAAGTGAGTGAGTGGGGCAGTATATCATGGCTCAATGAACCAAATAACATGAGTCTGTTATTTACTTTTCGGGTGGAGTGAAGACATATCAATGTCTGCTTCTTTCTTTCCTTTCTCTCTCTCTCAACCTATTTTATTCTCTTTTAAACACATGCATGAGCATGTCTGCATACCCACACAGCACTTTATTTCAGATGCATGAACGTGTCAATGCATCATGAATTTCAACTTCTCTTTTCTTAAGGAAACTCTCTATGCAGATATTTCAGTTATTGAGTGCTCACTTTCATTCAGATTAAAGTTATTTGACGAGAGAGATAGCTGGCGATAAATCTTGCTTATCTGTCAAGTACTGATGCAATATTTTTTTTTCTACCTGTTCCTTATAAGTTTTCCTTTTAAATGAAATAATTTAGCCTGTCAAATCTTTTTCAGTGTGTCTTAAAAACTAAAACTTATACAGATGTTTATGCTCCTCTCATTTATAGAGTTTGCCATTGAACTTTCAGTCTCGTTGTGCTGTTTGGAGGTGGTCATGTGTCTCAGTAATGCAGTTAGAGCTAATATTAATGTGACATTAGCAAGGTTTGCTAGCTTCTACCAGACTAAAGGTGTGGTCATGCTAGACTTTGGACATGCAAATTTACTTTCTGTCTGACAAGAAATGGGCAACAGGATATGATGTGCACCATTTATTCTTTATATTTAGACATTTGACATCATTTTAAAGTGGTTGAACCAGATATGCAGTACACTTACTTGTGTGTGTGTGTGTGTGTGTGTGTGCGTGTGTGTGTGTGTGTGTAACCCGACTCCTTCATCAAAGATTCAGAGATCCCAGAGTCCCAGCACAGTGACCTGGTAAACTGTTATAACTACCACTTGAACACACCAACAGCCATCGTATGCAGGAATCAATCAGCCTGTAGAAAAATATATCTGATCATTTGTATACATTTGATTCTGGTCAAGAACGTGTTAAAGGGATAGTTCACCCAAAAATTACAATTTTGTGATCATTTTCTCAACCTCATGTCGTTTAAAACCTATGGAAGTTGGTTTCCACCAAGGAATTAAAAAAATATAAAAAGTAATTGTGACTTTTTATCTCACAATTCAGACTTTTTTCTCCAAATTCTCCGAAAAATAATCAGAATTGCGAGATATAAACTCAGAATTGTGAAGTGTAAACTGCAAACTCAGAATTCAGGGGGAAAAGTCAGAATTGTAAACTTGGAATTGCGAGTAATAAAGTTCATATCGTAATTCTGACTTTTTTTCTCAGAATTGCGAGCTTATATATACAAAATTGCGTGGAAAAAAAGTTTGATTTGTGACGTATAAACTCAGAATTACAAGAAAAATGACTGAAGTCACAATTACCTTTTTAACTTTTTATTCCGTGATGGAAACAGGCTTCCATAATAGCCTGCATAACTTACTTTCTTCTGTGGAACACAAAATAAGATATTTTGAAGAATGTTGGTACCAAACAGTTTTGATGATCATTGGCTTCTTTTCCTAAGACACAAAAACACTGAGACACATATTCTCAAAATAGATTTTTTTATGACAAATGATGTGCTCTATGTGCTCAGTGTTTGCTGCAGGATGTACAGGTGGACAGACACTGATCGATCCCAATCTAAAGTCTGTGTGTTGGATTATTAATGATATTTTTGTTCATATTTATTTTTCTAAGAGCAAGCGTTGTGTAAAATGTGTCAAATGGTGCATTAAACACCTGTCACCTGCCTTTGAGCCCTGCTAGTTCATACTCTAAGGTGGACTCTGATCTTTGTGGTGTTTATTACTTTTGATTGATTGTATTTTCTCTATTGTGAACCTCAGCCTTAATAGGTGTTTTTTTGTAACTTCTTGTTGTCAGTATGAGTGTATTGGTTGTGTTAGAGTGATTTAGAATTTAGTTTGAGTGTGTGTTGATTTGAAAATGTATTGTTTTGCATCCATCTAGACAATCCTGGTGGAAATTGAAGGGAAGATCTCCAGTCTTCCTGTGTGTGGATTAAAGGAACAGGAGCAACATGAGGCTGAATCGCTCAACACCAAACTCCAGCTGCTGAAGAACAGACTGGTTACTGTCCAATTACAGCTGCAAGAGAGACACGGCGAAGATCAGGTACACACACATCCACTAATATAACCAAAATTTAGTCTGATACCAATCAAAAATGTCTGTTTTTTTATGTTGGGGACAGCGTAACTCAGGTGTAATGAGGAACTTAATGAACAGATTGCATGTGATGACAGAAATTGATCATTAGCATGCTAATTGCGGCTGATTTTCACATTTGCCAATTCTGTGTTATTTTCTGTCTCTGTGTGTCTGCAGGTGCATGTTGAGCGTCAGCGGCCCCTGCGGGCCAGGATGATACGCAGCAGCAGTGTCCAGGAAATGTTGAGTTCTTCCAAAACCAAACTGTTCAGACAGAGCAGCCTTCAACAACAAAGGGTAACACACACATTTATTCACACACTTTAAAATATTAGTTTTTCTAACACCTTTTTTGAAAAAATTTGTCTCTCCAGGGTTTTTTTTTTACTAGCCTATAGTGGGATTAGATTTTTTTCTTGCCCTGACAATATTTCCACTTACTCTACCATTAACGCAGATTTTATTTTGGGTGGTTGGTAAGGTTTGTTTAATGGCTGCTTGTATTTGATCAAAAATACAGTAAAATTCAGCTAAAACTGTAATATTGTGAAATATTTTTACAATTTAAAATAGTTTTTTTTATTTTAATATATTTTAAAATGTAATTTATTCTTTTGTTGGCAAAGCTGAATTTTCAGCAGCCATTACTCCAGTCTTCAGTGTCACATAAGAAATCATTCTAATATGCTGATTTGTTGCCCAAGAACTCATTTATTCTTATTATAAAAGGTCTGCTTAATATTTTGAGGAAACCGTTATACATTTAGGATTCTTTGATAAATAGAAAGTACAAAAGAGCAGCATTTATTTGAATAGAAATCTTTTGTAACATTATACTGACACTTTTGATCTGTTTAATGCATCCTTGCTGAATAAAATTATGAATTTCTTTTCAAATAAGTCCTACTGAACCCCAAACTTTTGAAGTAGTGTATATTTTTTATTTCACATTTCAAGTTAAAATGAAATTAAATTAAAATAATAATAATAATGTACTAGGTTTTTAATTAGCAAAAAAAGAGGATATTATAAAGGTACTATGTAACTCCATGACAGCTATATTTTCATACACTTCTGCTGGAAAATTAGGCTTAAATTACAAAACACTACTGATTTTTAACCTATTCTAATGCTTCTAAGACTATAACATGTCATATTGGTCCATCATTATCATTGCTCTCTCACGATCTTTTTTTCTCTGTTTAAGGAACTGGAGCATGGTTTGAATGAACAGAGGGATCTAACTAAAGCTATCGCAATTCAAGGCAGCAGAACTCGAGCACACAGCCAGAGTGCAGACGAACATGCAGGGTATCTAAATACACACCCCTATTAGTACAAATATATGCTTACACTTTGTAACCATATAACACTCCCTGATTGTCTGCAGCCCCTCGCCAGCAAAAGAGAATGAAGACAAGAGACAGGAAGTAGAGTTATCAGTCCACAGGAAGTGGACACACCTCTGCAGCAGATTGGTCAAGACAGCAGAGACCGAGCAAGATCAAGATGGAGATAAAGATCAGGATCCATCTGAGGTCTGAACACTTCAGATTCTTTTTATTTTTTTCAAATGTTTATTTGAAGTTTCTACCCCTAGTGTTTAATGTGTAGTTATTTTAATGTGTTAGTTATTTATATTTAAGCAATCTAACGTATTTGTGTGTGTGAACAGATCCTCGCTCCATCTGTCTGTTTGTGGAGTGGAGCTGCTGTTTCTCTCTGTCTGCAGGAGATTCAATCCAACATCTCACAACTTAAAGAACTGCAGAAGTCAGCAGATACTCAGGTGTCAATAACAAACACACATACCACACAGGGTTACTGTTTATAACACTTTAAACAGATAGAATAACGTACACTCTCTCTTCAAGATCAGAGTACACACTCTCAATATTGTCCAACCCGGATATTACAGAATTATATTTAACTGATCTGTCTGTGTGTCTGTGTGCAGGATCATCAGTCTCTGGATGAAGGTCTGTTTGAGGTGTTGAGTGGAGTGGATCTCAATCTCAGCTCGCTCACACAAACTCTCATGTATCAACCAGCAACCTCAAACACTGACATACTAAACCAACTACAACAGCTACAGGTCATTGGTCTGTCTGTCTGTCCATCAATCCATCAGACCATCTGTCTGTCCCTTCATTACTCCTCATTTCTACTCTGATTTATAGGGTTTATCTGCAGAGCTGACCTCCTTGGGTGCCATATTGACCTCCCAGGGGTCAGAGGTCATAAAGCTGTTAGGTTCGGGTTCAGCGATATCAGAGACCTCCACTTGTTTTGACCTGCTGATGCAGCGTGTATGTGACATTCAAAAGACTCTCGCTGATAAACAGGAGCAGCTACAGGAACGAATAAAACACACGACTCAGCTGCAGGTCAGACTTTTATCTGCTTATTACCAACAGTCACTTAAAAATTCTCCTGCAGTTTAGGTTACTAGACACACTAAATGGTTCAGAAAATTGATGCTTATGTGTTTACAGTGTTATGTGTCAGCAGCAGTTAAATTTTTGCAGGTTTTAACACCACAAACCTTCAGATATCTCGCCTTCATAACTGTCACACTTGTTTGTTATGAAAAGTCTTGTGTCGTCATAATGTCAGACATAATGTTCTTTTCAGTCTCATGTTTTATCCCATAATTCTACCTCTTCATTTAAGATGAGCTAGAAGTATTTAAGGTCTTATTTATTTGTACTCTTATTTTGACCTTTTTTGTAAAGTATGACTCAATTGTAATATTTCCATGTGTGTCAAACCTTCAGAAGAGAGTGAAAGACCTGCATGACTCGGTACTAACTAACACGTCAATCCTTCACCCTACAACTAACGGAGAATCCCACCATGACCTTCACACACAGCTGCAGGTAAGACACGAGCCTGTCAATAACACTGCCTGTAACACCTCACGCTACTGGAGAAGTAACACTGTTCTACATTTCTGCAAGAAAAAAATGCTGATGTCTTCATTGTACATTTGCTGACTTATTTATATGCATTTTATAAGTTTCTACAATTTTGTAGCATTTAAATTTTTCCCCTGAAGATAATAATGCTAGTCAGGGTTTCTTGCACGAGAGACAGTCGTACTTTAGTTTTTCTTATTAGTTCTGATCCACTCATTTGATTGGACAAGCATCATTTCAGGAGTGCAGATATGTTATGTTCTTCCTATTAGGTCTTAATTGCACTTGAAGTCTGAGATTTTGACTTTTTCTCTACCTGTGATTCCATGTGAAGGCCATCACTGGATGGAAACAGGAAGTGGAGCAGAGCGAGAGAGAGCTGGCTGAACTTAGAGAAGAGACAGAGAGTCGAGATCAGCCCTTGTCCCTCACACAGCAGATCAGCACACTGGAGGTATGGGTGTGCCTTTCAAATTCCAATTCCTGGTAGCCAGCATGAGACACAATTGAAATTGAAATCTAAATTGACAGTAGATGACTTAAGTAGAATTAAAATAGAATTACTGACAAAAATGTCAGTTATGTAAAGCAAATGCTGTAAGTGTAGTTTTTAAAACTTATTACAAACTTATTATTTATTAATTTAATAATTATTAACATGTTACAATACAAACAATATATACATTACCTGATATTAATAATTGCAATGCCACTTATATAATTTTTTTACACAATATAATGAAATATACAGTACCTTTCAAAAGTTTTTTTTCCTTATTCAGCAAGGACACATTACAGTTTTTCTCAATTGCTCTGGCTCAATTCTTGAATAAGATTTTTTTTTTTCTCAAAACAAAAAGTTCAGATGTCTGAACAATTAGTTTCTTGTTCACATCAGATTTCAATTTCTTATTGATTTAGGCAAATTGCATATGTTTTGGCACGTGTGCAAATGAGTAAGTACGATTGTCTTCAGTTTGCACAATAACTAAATACATATGACTTGTTGATCAAAACTGATGAGTTTATTCTCAATGAAATTGTCAAACTCTTTACAACTACAAAACATTCTTTCATTGTGTGAGCCATCACATGCAAAATTATCCATTCAATTATCAAAATCTGTCAGACATGCGTTTATATTCCATAAATATCTGACATGGAATGGTTGTAATGTCTGCTAAGTTGGCAAATGGCTTGCCATTAGGGTTGCAAAGGGGCAGAAAATTACTGAGAGTTTTCAGTTTACAGGTAACACATATCTACAAAAATAAATGTACTGTATAAATAAAAATGTTCATTTTCTTTTTGTGTACTACAGTATTGACGTTTCCAATACATTTTTTATCTACTGTTGAAATTTGTAACTAAAATGCTCAGTGCTCAATGTCAGCTCAAAAAAAAAATTTCATATAACAAGAAATGAAATAAAATTTGCAAAAAAAACCTAAAAAAATTCCTTGTGTGTTTGCACACACTTGGCGAATAAAGCTCATTTTGATTCGGATTCCGAAAAAAAACATCTAAACATCTTGGCTCACACTATGACTTTGGTGGCATTGCCCAAGTCACTGACACAATAACTAGGTTTTGAAGCATGAATTAAATGTTTTGGGTGAGTTACAACATTTTGCAGACATTCAATAGTGTTCTGATGTTCCAGAAAACAGTTGTGACAATTGCGTTTACAGTTTAGAGAATGTTAAGACTGTTTCGAAAAATGTGAGAAAAACTGTAAATTGATCAAAGTGCCATTTATTAGTGCCATTACAAAATATTAAGCAGCCCACTTGATAATTATAAGAAATGTTTCTTGAGCACCAGCATGTGAGAATGATTTCTGAAGGATCATGTGACACTGAAGACTGGAGTAATGGCTGCTGTAAATTGTAAAATACACTCTCTGTAGGCAGTATTGGACAGTGTTTGGAGTGATCTAGAGCAGCGCTGTGGAGTTGTGCAGTGGAGTCTAGATGAGCAGAAGATGAGTGAAAAAATCCTGAAGGGTCTGCAGATGCTCCTGACTATTGGAAGAGAGAAACTCACCTGCACCTCTCAGCTGGAGCTCAGGAATCCAGCACAACTACAGACACACCTCAACACACACACGGTAAACATATCACACACCTTCAAACACCCTAACTAAATGCACACACACATAAAGCCCTGAAAACAAATAAGTAAATCAGCTACACAAATACATAAAAAAAAACACACACACACACATTATATCACACATGAATCATGCACATTATAGCACAGGTCCTGCAATCTCTCATTCACCTCTCTAACTTTGTAAATCTACAGGTGTTTTTCCTGTCTCTGGGTGCCCACCTGAGGAGATTGCAGCAACTGAGTGTGCGGATGCCAGACAGCGCCTCCTCTGGCTGGGAGACTGAAGTGTCGGAGGTGGAAAGTGAAGTATCCAGTGTCCTGCAGCAGGCTCAGGCTGTCGGCACAGTGCTGCACACATCACTGCAGGTACGAGAGTGAGGGAATCAAGAAATCATGTGGAATGACACTTATTACAGTTTTTCTGTATGGAAAGCTGCATCAACCAAGAAGATACAAGAATGGAAAAGAGATTGATGTATAAATAAAAGAACAAACAAATGGGATTGATGGGTGCATGAATAAAAGAACTGGTAGACTGAATGACCAACAGCAGCTTTTATTATATTTTTAGTTAATACTCCTCTGCCCTTGATAAGGACTTTGATGTATTTCAGGTTTGCACTAAGTGGGATGAAAATCATTCCTGGTTAGAAACACTTCTGCAGAGGCTAGAGACTCAAGTTCCAGTAACACCTCTGCAGGACCAAACTGAGGAGCAGCTCAGCAAGAATATTTCTGTCCATCATGTAATGGTTTAAACTTATATATAGTGAACTGACACACATATATACCTTTAAATAAGAATGCAGCAATATTTGAAGATCCCTGATCTCCACTTGTTGTCTGTGATAGAGTGTGTTGGCAGTTCTGGAGCAGAACAGAGCTCGGATCAGTCTGGTTCTGGATGAGGGCTGCAGACAGCAGGAGCAGATTTCTAGTAGTGAAATAGGTTCTCCTATATACATATTGGGTGTGTCTACAGCCAGACTGGAGCAGCGATTGGCTGCACTTCAGAGGAAGTTGGAGCAAGGGCTACACTCCACTCTCCATCTTAAGAAGCTTTGGAACAGGTAAAAATGAATGATGTGGGTAAAATTAAGCCAGCCAGATTTTTCACTCTGAAACAATTCTTGCCATTTCTTTACACAATATGCATAATTTTATTCTATCTCAGTCTGAGTTTTAAAATCACAATATTTTCAGTCTTATGTACTCACTTAAATTATGTTTAATAAGGGAGAGTTGTGTAGAAACACTGAGAGATGGAAACGTACAGAGGAAAAATATAAAGAATTACCACTACACTTTTTTCCAGGTACCAAAGCGATTCAGAGGCTTTGAATGAGTGGATGGGACGAGCCAGAGAATGCCTACATACATGGAGAGATCACATGACCACAGCTGAACAGGAAGTGGACACCCTCTCCCATTTTCAGCACTTCACAGTTAGTCAACCAGTGATTCTAATCATTCATTTTTAGTTTATATTATTTTGAACAATAAGATGATTAAAAACTTGATGACTATAACTACATAAAACCTTCTTTTATGCATGTTAAATACATATTTATTACAATTAATGAACAATAATTTGAATAGGTTTAGTTTTAATGATGACAACACTGGTTATATTAGGACATTTTTGTAACTGTGATGTTTTTGACGCAGGTGTTTGTGAAGGAGCTAGAGGTGAAATCGGCCCTGAAGGCATCAGTGATCAGTTCTGGATCTTTGATCCTGTTGCTCAGTGAAAGAGAGCAGAACACTGAGACACAGAAGATCAGCAGAACCACCAGTGCTCCAAGATCTTCCACTCCCTCTGGAAATACAACAACCTCTGAAGACCTACAGCCAAGTGAAACTAGCAACTGCACATCTGTAGATATCACCCTTCCTTCAGAAACCAATGTTTCTTCTATTCAAAACATCTCCTCAGAAGAAACCCTTTCTATAACAGAAGGATCAGATGCAAACATCACAAATGAAGGTGCTGTCTTTGAGGATCCAACCGCATCTGCATTTGATTTATCTGTAAAACAAGAGATGGTTCTGTCCCCAGTTCTCCTGACTCTGCAGTCCCAGCTGTCTCAAGTGGAACAAGACTGGGTGGAGATACAGACACTCATTCCTGCCATCCAACAGGGACTGCATCAGGTACATCATTACTAACTGCTCCCTGGATAGTTGGAAAGAAAGACCTGTCAGTTTCATGTTCTTCAGTTTGGAGCTTTGTCTCTCTGAGGGAGAACATCATGTATAAAAAGTTATCATGGAGGTCAGGCAGCCATCCAGGCATGATTTCCTGTATTACTCAGAAGTTGATGAAATCTTTGAGTAATAGAGTCTGTCCTTTTTACTATCCATTATCTGGTCTCTCTTTCTTGTTCTCATCCCCTTTTTCTTCTTTGATTACATGTGTCACCCCTAACCCGGCTCCACTGTTTTCTTTCTTCTCTATTCTCTCCACCTCTGTCTATCACTTTCATCTGTCTTTATTCCCATTCTGTGTTCTCTTTCTCTCTCTCAGAGTGTGGTGGAGAGCCTATCTCCTGAAGGACTGCTGGCTGATGTGTGTGGCTGGATTACAGGGGCTGAGAGCAGGTTACAGGCGGCTGAACGAGAGGGTCACAACACCTGTACTGCTGCAGTGTTCACACACCTGCTCAGAACATATCAGGTACCTTGCTCACTTTTTAACCTCTCTATCAATTAAAAACGATAATTAGCAAATAAAATAATTATCTTTGATTAAACATCAGTGCAAAATAACATTATTTTTCTTTTAAAAATAACAAATGGTAAAGAAATCAATAATCAGCAAATGTATGTGAATGAAATTATTATAAAAGTAACTAAAATCTGCAAGTAATATACTCCGTTATAGTAAAATAAATAATATAAAGTACAAATATAACAAAAAGGAAGACATTACGAATCTTGTAATAATTAAACAAAAATATTTATTTTCCTTTCATTGAATTTTCAATTTATTGTGGTTTATTAGCATTAAAAACATACATTTGTATTGCCAAAGTGTTTGCCATAAAAAAGAGTTGTACAAAGAAAACAATACTGAAATAAAATACAGTTAAATAAAGTAATAAAATATAATGCAGAGTACACTTAGCTTAGATAAAGAACAAAATGAAAACGGAATGAAAATAACTGAAATAAAAATGTGCAAGTGTAATTAACTCTTTCTTTCTTTTCTCATTCAATTTCAGTTTGTGCTTTGTAAGTGAAGTGCAAAGTAAAACTTAGAAAGTAACATTCAGCAAATACAATATATATACTGTATATATATATAGAGAGAGAGAGAGAGAGAGAGAGTGCATTAAACAAGAGCAATTAACCTTTTCTCTCACTATCTATTTTATTGAATTTACTGAGGGGAAGTAGTTTTAACTTTCAGCAACTTTCTTTTGGATTTATATAGAGAGAGAGAGAGAGAGAGAGAGTGCATTAAACAAGAGCAATTAACCTTTTCTTTCACTATCTATTTTATTGAATTTACTGAGGGGAAGTAGTTTTAACTTTCAGCAACTTTCTTTTGGATTTATCTCTCTTATTCTCTTTCTGTCTAGGGGATGAAGAGAGAGATGGCATGTCAGCAGATGTCTGTTGACTTTATTAATCAGTGTGAGCTGAAGCAGGTCAGTTTTGACTCTCACACCAGCAGGTACAAACACACTGCATTTGCTGAAAATCTGGGACACGTCAATCTGCGCTGGAAAACTCTACAGGCTCACCTGAACACACAGGTGAGTAGTTTATTATTATTATTTATTATTATTCCAGAAACCAATACAGATTAACATAGTGTGTACTGTGTTTTTCAGATCCAACATGCTGAAGATCAGGTGAGGATATGTGCAGAGCGAGATAGCAAACTACAAATCCTGCAGCGCTGGGTCAAAGGTCAAAAACAATGGATGCGACTGGCTGAAAGACCCATCAGTCGCTCATTTGCTGAGAGGAGCCTGAAGGATTGTGAAGTGAGTGGCTGATATTTTCTGGTTGTGGTAACTGATTATGTTAATGCTCACCTACTTTAAAAGCTTTCAAAAAGCTTTTTTTTTATTTATTGGAATTTATTTATATTACATTTTAGAGGAAGTTTACTTGTCATTCTTTCATTCTCAGGAGCTGGGGGAAAAGTTGAAGTCTAAATTCTCAGAACTTGCTGAGTTGAGGAAGAGGAGACTTACCACTGATGAAGAAGACAGGGATAAAGACTTCCTCTCAAAAGCTCACAATCTTTCACAATCTTTGACTGACCTCTCTCAACAGGTATGGAGACATGGTCCTGTGGATTAAAACAAAACCAACAAATATTTATAAACACTCTTGAGTGTGTTTAATTAGGAATTTAATAATAAATGTTCATTTTCTAGAGTACAGTCCTTGGGAATACCTTGAAAGAGCTGTGTAAGGTGTGGGCTCAGTTTGAAAGTGGGAGGAGTCAGGCAATTGTAAACACAATGAGGATCTGCCAATCACTGGAGTACTGCCACGCCCCTCTGCCCTCCCTCTCTGCCCTCCAGAACAACATTGATAAGCTACAGGTGCTATCAATCACTGTTTTTTTCCCCAAGCTGTTTCTGATTGGTCACAGTATGAAATATGTTATTATATACTGAACAAAATTATAAACGCAACACTTTTGTTTTTGCCCCCATTTTTCATGAGCTGAACTCAAAGATCTAAGACTTTTTCTATGTACACAAAAGGCCTATTTGTCTCAAATATTGTTCACAAATCTGTCTAAATCTGTGTTAGTGAGCACTTCTCCTTTGCCGAGATAATCCATCCACCTCACAGGTGTGGCATATCAAGATGCTGATTAGACAGCATTATTATTGCACAGGTGTGCCTTAGGCTCACATTTTAGAGTGGCCTTTTATTGTGGCCAGTCTAAGGCACACCTGTGCAATAATCATGTTGTCTAATCAGCATCTTGATATGCCTCACCTGTGAGGTGGATGGATTATCTTGGCAAAGGAGAAGTGCTCACTAACACAGATTTAGACAGATTTGTGAACAATATTTGAGAGAAAGAGGCCTTTTGTGTACATAGAAAAAGTCTTAGATCTTTGAGTTCAGCTCATGAAAAATGGGGGCAAAAACAAAAGTGTTGCGTTTATAATTTTGTTCAGTGTATTTAGATATGTGATAACATATATGATTGCATTAGAGATTTTTTTTTGTTTGTTTTTTTGGGAATTTTGTCAAATTTGTTAATTTAAGAGTAAACCTTTGGCTTGAGAGAGATACTTATTATGATGTATTCTGTATTCACAAATTATTGTTTGCAGGTCTTAAAAGCAGAGGCAAAGGAGATTGACAGCCAGTGGGAGGATCTTACCAAGACAACAGCAATTCTTATTGGTGGAATCTAGAAAAAGAAAAAGCAAGGTTAGACTTCCCACATACCAGCAAAACAATGTGAATGTGCATGTAAATGTTCGAGCTAATATACTTTGTATCACCCTCTAGGTGGTCAGAGGTGAAGGAAAAGGTCACAGAGGCCTTGCAGAGATCACACAGTCTTCTGAAGGTGTGGCAGAAATACTCTGATGTGAGACGCTCCTGTTCAGAGCAGCTCCAACATCTCAAAGAGCAGCTCAACACGCATACCAAAACACCCCCTGACAATAAACAACTCACACACAGCATTGCAGAGCTGAAGACTGTGAGTACAATGCAAAGACAGATAACCACAGATAACCATCCATTTAAATACACAAACTAAAGTGGGGTCCAAAAAGTTTCAGACCACACTGAAAATCTGGGATTTTTTAAAACCAGAATAGTTATGATTTAATAATGTAATATAATATTATATAATATAATATAATATAATATAATATTATATTATATTATGTTATATTATATAATATAAAGTATTAAGAATGAATAAAAGTATTAAGAATGAGTACAAAAGACTTTTGGACTGCATTATAGTATATGTGACAGACTGTGTTATTGTCTTATTTCCTTCTTTTAGGTATTACAGAAATGCTCAGAGACTCTACAGACTGATGTGAATGAAATGCTTGAAGTGTCTAAGGATCTGATTGAACAGATGGATGATGAGGATGCAGTTTTCATCCGATCAGAATGCCGTTTGTTAACACGAGGTTACCTGCAGTTAGAACAAACTCTGAAAGGAAGAATTGAACACATGCAGGTAAGACTTACACACATTAGCCTCTGTGCTTTAATAAGCATGGAAGTGTTTGAAGTATTACTCATTTCAATAAAAAAAAACATCTGTTGTTGTTTTTCTGCATAATATGTCCATGCTCTGTCAAGTTCCAAAAAGGACAAAAACCCCCACAATAATAGCACCAAGTATCAGAATAGTACTCTATAAGTCAAGTCAGAGTAAATGCTGACAGAATTTTTGACTCTTCCTTTAATTCACAATATGTGTGTCTGTTCAGGAGGATCTTGAGCAATTTCAAGAATTTGAAAGGTCATTCCAGTCCCTCGAAACACAATTACAGCAGTGGGAAAGCAAGCAAAGGATGGACAGTGAACTCACAGATATATCTCAGGTAATAAAAAAACATACACATGCATAACTCATTGACATCATTTTATTGAAGAGATGTCCAGTATTAATGGTTTCTATATTTTCTTGTCAACAGTCGGGTCTGATGGAGGTCAGTTCTCTCTCTCCTGGTCTGGATCTACTAAACACTCTCAGCTACAGGCTGACCCTCAGTGACCCCATGACACAGAGGCTGCAGCACCTCAACAGGAAGTGGGCACAGGCCTCCGCACATGCTCAGGAGAAATGCAGGTGACCAGCACTTATGATCCGATCACCTGAGAAAGACACTAATATCAGATTCAATACTCAGCATATTACATGTTTATGTGTATATTGTGTGTTTAGTGAGTTGCAGGCAGCCTCTCTCCTGCAGCAGAGCTTTGAGCAGAGATGTGAGAGCTGGCTGGCTTTCCTACAGCGCATGGAGGACAGTTTGGCTGTAGAAATTGCATCAACTTACCCTGAACTAAGAGAACAACAACGAACACACCAGGTACAACAGTCGACACACCCACAAATGCAACACACATGGATCATAGATCCCACCCAAAAAATCTGACTCCCCCCCCCAAAAATATATTTTTCTCTCCTTCTCTTCTAGTGTTTTCAGGCTGAGTTGTCTTTAGGCCATCAGATTCTTCACTCTGTGATCAGTGAATCTCTCCTCCTGTTGCAGAAGGGAGATGTGAAGGACAGGTGACGATTCTCAACTTGTTTTTTGGGGGGTTTTTTCAATCTCTGTTTTGGATTTAATATGATTTTGTATGGTTCCTTGTGACATACAATATGATTCAGAAGTTGGGGCAGTGAGTTTTTTTTTGTTTTTTTCTTAAGAAATCAGGACTTTAATTCAACAAGGATGCATTAAATAGCTCAAAAGTGACAGTAAAGACATTTATTTATGTTTAAAATTTGTTTTTATTTCAAATAAATGTTCTTTTGAGCTTTCTATTCATCAAAGAATCCTGAAAAAGATGTGTTATGGTTTCCACAAAAATATATTAAGCAGCACAACAGTTTTTAATGTTGATAACAGTAAGAAATGTTTCTTGAGCACCAAATCAGCATATTAGAATGATTTCTGAAGGATCATGTGACACTGAAGACTGGAGTAATGGCTGCTGAAAATACAGCTTTGCCATCACAGGAATAAATTACATTTTAAAATATATTAAAACAGAAAAGAGTTGTTTAAAATTATAATAATATTTCACAATATTACTGTTTTTTCTGTATTTTTGATCAAATAAATGCAGCATTAATGAGTATGAGACTTTTTTCAAAAAAATTAAAAAATTCTTACTGACCCCAAACTTTTGAACCGTAGTGTAATATAGTATTTTATCACTTTGTCATGAAAAAATGACCTACTTTTATAAATATTAAGTTGATACCTGGAAGTTTTATATTTAGAATTCAACATGAGATTTGTAGTTTTACTAACCACTTTGCCTGTGCCCTCAGGAGTGACTTCCTGTTAAAACTGGCACAGCTGAGAGAGCACTGGCAGGGAGCGGTGCAGAGAGCATCTCAACGGCGCGCTCTAGTGGAAGGGCTTATACAGCACTGGCTCCTTTATACACACACAATGCAGAAACTCTGCAAACTCCTCACACTCACACACACAATCTTGTCGCCTGCCGGTCCCACACACTGTAGTGTCCTGCAGTTGCGCCTCTTGCTGGAAGATCTGAAGGTAACAAGATGATTTTCAAATATCACTGTCATTATTGATGAAGATATTGTGTAAGTCAAAGTACTTTATATCAGAATCAGAAGAATCAGATTTATTCATATTGACACCTTCGCTTGCCGTTGTTAGTGACAAAAGAGTCTGTTTGTTTTTGTTTTTTTGTTTGTTTCACCATTTCTCCCTCTCTCTTTTTTGTTTGTACCCTTTACTCTCTCCCTCCTCTCTCTCTTTTTCTCTCTGTCCCTGTAAAGCGAACAGAGCTATTGTTTCAAAGGTCAGTCTCTGCATATCTGTGTGTGATGGAGGTAGGCAGGCAGCTGTTCTCAGTGAGTGACACGCAGACGCAGATGCAGCTGCAGACAGACCTGGCAGCCCTGCAGGAGGACTGGGAGCAATGCCAGTGCATGCTGGAAAAGAGAAAGACTCTCACATCTGACATCATAAGGGTAAGATGGATTGAAATGGGACCTCTGAATTAACTAACTCTTGTGTTTTATTGCTTAGTTCTATAGGCATGCTGTTGCGTTTACAATGTAGACTTATATGGTAATGTCAGATATTTTTATCCTTATCCTTATGTTGAATGTCAAAGGTCACATGGGAAGCACATAAAGCTATGTGAGTGTGTTTGTGTGATCAGACTTTTTTTTCTAAAATGGTTTTCCCATGATCATGGAAACCTATAAATATTAGAAAATTCTGACTTCTAATCTAAACCTGGGAAAGAAATTGTTAAAAAAAATCATGGAAATGTCCAGAAAAAAATGTGTAGACAATTTATACATTTACAATTTTTCAGTACTCATCTGTAAAACATTTTATCATCTAGAAATATATAATTGTGTGTGAAATCGCTATAATTGTTTTTTTTTCCTTATCCAGTTATCATGAACAAATAGGAAAGTATGTTCTAGATGTCAGATATCATTCCTATCTACTATACATATCAGCATTTATGAGGGTAAAGTTTATATAACAAAACAGCTACCGCTAAGTGAAATTTGCCCTTGGAATTTTTATGATTTTATATGATTTTATGATTAGATAAGAAATAGCAGGTTAGATAGGAAATAGCAGGTTATGGATTGTCAATCTTATGAACACCTATTCAGAGCTGCTCCAGAGAACAACTGTCTGTCCGTGTATGGACACGTCTAAAACTTCACCAGGAATAAAGTCTGCCATTATAGATAACCACTCTAGAATGATACAGGGCAACACTAAATTATGGATTGTGTTTGTGTGCGAAGAATAAGGAGATACTGTATTATGTTGGTTTTGTGCAGGAATGAGTCCAGCTGAGTTTGACCTACATTCCCTCTGATTCAACAGCTGGACTAATCCAGCTCAGACCTTTGCACACACTCCTACACAACCACAAGCACATTCATTTTAATATCAGTGTTCCTGACCTGACATGCAGGTCTATCTGTCTGTCTGTCTACCTATCTACCTACCTGTTGTCTGTCTGTCTGTCTGTCTGCCTGCCTGCCTGCCTGTCTGTCTTTGTCTGTCACTATATGTCTATTTGTCTGTTTCTCTGCCCCTCATTCATAGTTGACCTTGATTGTAGTTTAGATAATATGAAGACACAGAAAATATAGGCTTTGTGTGTGTGTTCATGAGTACATGCACTTGCCATGTGCTAAAGGGTTTATAGTAAAGCCTGTCTAGGGATTTACAGCTCTCCCTGTCTGTCTCAGCCTTTCTGTCTCTCTCTCACAGTCTTTATTTTTGTCAGTCTTTATTTCTCATGCAACGCTTTATAAAATGAATGCCAGCGCACTGAAACATTTTGCCATATTCTCAGGAGTTTCCTCTGTGCAGTATGTCATATTATAATATGGTTTTACTTGTATTATACTGTATATGTGACGTGCGTGTACAGTATTAACATGTAGATGTGTGTGTGTTTACATTGCCCCTAGTCGTGTCTTATCTTTTCATTTGTCTCTGAGCCGGGACATTGGTCTGATTTAGTGCACACTGACCTTCCACAGTGGACATCTGGACACCTGTCCATATGTTTGTGTGTACATATCTACCCTCACATAGCCATAAGCTCTCTGTGTTTTCTCTGCATTATTTTTGAATTTCCTGACTAATGATTTATTGAGTCGGGTCCATCCCATATAAAGAGGCTTTCAGATCAGATATTAAATCAAAAACATGTTAGAGCATTATAGCAGCCTCTATACCCTCACATAGCCATAAGCTCTCTGTGTTTTCTCTGCATTATTTTTGAATTTCCTGACTAATGATTTATTGAGTCGTGTCCATCCCCATATAAAGAGGCTTTCAGATCAGATATTAAATCAAAAACATGTTAGAGCATTATAGCAGCCTCTGTTCATATGTTTTTACAATTATTTTGCAGAAATGGGAGACCTGTGAGACCAGGCTAGCTGATCAGGCCCAGTGCCTGGAGGAGGTACAAGCCAGACTGAAGCAGTCGATCCCAGATCAGCAGGAGGAGATGGAAGAGGAACGCCTCCTTGTGAAGGTACACTTAACTCCAAGAGGTGAACTGATTTGCTCCACTTCATGTACTGTTGACTGACTTGGTACAGTGAGTGTAATAAGTAGTGAATTACTCACTTAGCATTTTTTCAACAAAAGCATAATTTAATAATGTAATTTTAAAAAACACCTAAACGGTTGTGGTGTTTACATTTACATTTAGTCATTTTGCAGACGCTTTTATCCAAAGCGACTTACAATTGGGGAATACATAAAGCGATTCATCTTAAAGAGGTAAACAGTCATAGAAGTGCTCGCAATACCAAGTTTCAGGCATTGTTTAAATCAGTACAAGCTAGAAAGGGAAGGAATAAATAAAGAGAAAGACAAAAAAAATTTTTTAAGTCAAGTAGCGTCGAAAGAGATTGAGCTGTAGGTGATATTTTTTCATCCATGCCGAGATGTCCGCCAGGCAGCCTGAGATCTGTGCAGCTACCGTAGGATCATCTGGTTGAAATGAGAGATAGAGCTGTGTGTCATCAGTATAGCAATGGTAGGAGAAGCCATGTGCCTGTATGATGGGACCCAGTGATGTAGTGTATATTGAGAAGAGGAGGGGTCCAAGAACTGATCCCTGAGGAACCCCAGTGACTCCAGTGTTTTTTTTTCATTCATTGATTTATTAAACATGTTACTTTTGAGAACATCCTGGATGTTTTGTTATATTTAACTTTTGGTTTAGTAAAGCTAATGGTGAAAGTTAGTTTTAGCTGCTTGTGCTAAAATCACTAATAACAGCTTTTGTTTGTGTTGCATGACACTTTGGATTTCCCTTCTTCCCTGCTATAGGCTTATTCAGCTGTGATTCTCCTCCCTCAATCTCTCTCTCCCTCTCTCCTGCCCTCCCCCTTTGTCCCGTGGGCTTTAATCTCGCAGGGCCAGAGGGTGAAAGAGAGAGATTGCGTGAGTCAGAGCTGGGATGTGTGGCAGTGTTTTCTGTGAGTGTGTGTGACGGTGGTGTGTTATGTTATGCAGGAGGTTCAGGATTGTTTAGAGGACTGGGCCGTCAGTCTTTCGGAGCTCAGCACCATGAAGACAGACCTGTCCCAGTACATCCTAACCGATGACGTCCTCCTCCTGCAGGAGCAAGTGGACCATCTGCACTGCCAGTGGGAAGAGCTCTGCCTCAAAGTAAGACACAAATATTTTTACCTAGACATACCAGAGACTTTTGTATTTTATGCTTTAGACTTTTTGATGAAATAGGAGAAAACAGAGCAAACATAAAGCCTGCAGGAATCTTGTGTCTAAACATTGACAGCTCTAATTCATTGAGCTGACTGATAAACCTTAGTGTGTGAGAACTGAGAAGTATAAATATTTAACAGCAAAATATAATGAATGAATCTGTATTATATGAATGTAGTTTAAGGTGTAGATACATAGCAACTTCTGCTTTTTTGAAACATTTTTAACGTTTTAAAACACATGTTTACCTACAGATATCTAAATGAAGACATGAAATTTTTTGTTGTTTTCTAAAGTTAATTATAATTACTACTGAGTAAAACCTAACCTAAACTAAATCTCTATGCTTTAAAGAGAACTTATTTATTAATTAATTTTTATTAAAATTATTTATCTAAATTATTAAATATTAATGCATTTTTTTTCCTCCATTGATTTATTAAACATGTTACTTTTGAGAACATCCTGGATGTCCACAAAGGGATGTTTTGTTATATTTAACTTTTGGAGACAGTTTTGTCTCCAGCTACTGCTAAGTAAACCTACACAGACGACATGCTCAAAGGAATTCCAACTATTTTAAATACAATGTTAGCACACCATCACTACCCAAGAAACAGATGTGAGGATTTTTTAAAAATTTTTATCAGTTCTTATTGATTCAGCTGGAGTCATTGTTCCTGTGAAGTTCCTTGATGTATGTTGTTCTGGTGACCATGTATTGATTTGCTTTCTGAACCTGTGCATCACTCGCATGAGGTCTTGCTGCGGTTTTTAATGAATATGGTGCTGGATCAGTCAGCTGGAGTCTCCTGGGGTCATGTTTTGGGGGTCTGGTGTGAGTTTTGGGGTGGGTGGGGGTCTTTGACAGTGGAACGAGAGAGCAGATGGTATAGAGTGAAGGACACAGAAAAAAAGACACACAGAAATGAATAGAAGCAGGAGTCTTTAGCTCTTTGTTTTGGAAATCACTCCCAGTGTGTGTGTGTCACACACCGGAGTGTGAGTGATGTGGCAGCTGTTGAGTTAGTTTGGATTTTAAAACTTTTGAGTAACAAAGTTCATAAAGATGTTTTGGCTAGTGATCTTTAAATATGGAAATAAATTGTTTTGCATAAAAAATGTATTAATTGATTGACATAATTGTAATGATTTTAATTAAGTACATTTGTCCCAGAAATTGTTACCACAATATGCACATATTTAAATGTTTAGTTTTTTTTTATTTTGTAATTCCCTGTATTCACAGTGTTGATTCATTAGATTTTATTAATTTCCATTACTGTGATACAGTATTTTTTATTGTAATACAGTAAAAATAGATGTAATACATTATTTTTAAAAATCAGTATAAATGCAGTACAATGAGACTTCCATAATTAATACTACTATATTTTTATAATTTTTTTATTTACAAAATTATAGTATTGAGAATTGCTTGTATTCTTAATTGTCAGAATGGGAAAAACATATTGTGTTTTTCTTTTGATTTTGGTGAGAAATATGACCTGCACATCTTTTTGACAGGTTTAGTAAGATTCCCTGTCTTTGTGTGAGCTGCAGTTATGCTGCCATATCTCTTATGTATTTTCTCTCTCTCTCTCTGTAGGTTTCTCTGCGTAAGCAGGAGATTGCTGATCGGCTGAATGCCTGGATAATTTTTAATGAGAAGAATCGGGAGCTGTGTGAATGGCTGACACAGATGGAAAACAAGGTGGCACACAGTGCTGAGCTGAGCATCGAGGAGATGGTGGAGAAACTCAAGAAGGTGAGACAAAGGTCTTCTAGCAAAACGAATGTTTATTCCACATTTATTTGCTTGCTATATTTCACCTAATCTTGTAAGCAAGCAAACAAAAAGAGTATGACTCTCAAGATATTAATCATTATTACTTTCCTTGCCCTCTTACACTCAAATATTCACTCTCTTCAGGACTGTATGGAGGAGATCAACCTCTTCAGTGAGAATAAGACACATCTGAAACAGCTGGGTGAACAACTCATCACTGCTAGCAACAAGACCAAAGAGACAGAAATCAATGACAAGATCAAGGACATCAACGACCGCTGGCAGCATCTGTTTGATCACATTGAGGCCAGGTAAGACCTTAGAGTAACCCTGAGCATGGTCATGGTCAAATATACTAAATCAGATGCAATACACAATACTCCTTTATTATAAATGCTGCTAGAATGTGACCATAAAACGGTGATGCATATGTTACTTGAGAACTTTGCTGGATTTTTACAAGCATTTGGGTCATGGGATATGAACTGCAAAGTACTTTGTAAGATGCATGCATGGCACAGTGATGTTAATCTGACATTGATCCAATTCATCTCAGCCACACTTTATTTAACAGACAGGAAGTGCAGTTTGTCACAATCAATGAAGCGTAAACATCAGCTCCACTGAGTCAGAAACTGCAAGAGAGAGAGATTTAAATGTAGACGTGCACGTGGAGTCAGTCCAGATGGGTGTTATCTGGGTGGAGCGTATGAAGGGGGTTGGTTTGTCCTGCTCTTCGCTTGATTGACAGCTCTGATTAGACAGATGGTGGCTGTAGCTTCATGATACGTTGATGGCCAGCTTGTTGACTTCTTGTCTTAAAGTCTGCTTTTCTTTTCTGCATTTTCTCTGGCGGTGGAGCGTATGAAGGGGGTTGGTTTGTCCTGCTCTTCGCTTGATTGACAGCTCTTTGATTAGACAGATGGTGGCTGTAGCTTCATGATACATTGATGGCCAGCTTGTTGACTTCTTGTCTTAAAGTCTGCTTTTCTTTTCTGCATTTTCTCTGGTCTTCGGTTCTGGATCTCTGGGATAAGTGCATTCAAAGCATCTATATTTATTATTTGTTCATGTTAAGGCAACATACAGCAGACTGACCTATATCATGTTCCATATTACTCAAAGAGATTGAGATTAGACCTTATCTATCATTCAACTGCACTCTAAAAAATAAAGGTTTTCACAGCGATGGCATGGAAGAACCATTTTCGGATCCCCAAAGAACATTTAGTGAACAATTTAGTGAAACGAAACATAATTTTTTTAACAAAAGGCACATTTCAATAATCTAAAGAAACTTTTTCCACTATAAAGAACCTTTTGTGCACTGGAAAGTTCCATGGACTTTGAAAGTTCTTCTTTGAACCATTAATGTCAGTAAAGAACCTTTATTTTTAAGACTGTACATTTCAAAATTCAAAATACAACTGAAACATTGCGACAGTAAACAGATCAGCTGGTGGAATGCCATTTAATGTAATTGTGTTGCTTAAACAAGCCTCTTAAGAGGTTATGAAGGTTATAAGGGAAAGAAGCTGGTGGCATGTTGCACTCTTCACCTGCAGATTCCTCTTACCTCATCACAGCAGATAAATTCACCTGTAGAGCTTTAGAGCTTCACATCTGCAGTCGAGCAAATATCTCGGCATTCACACTGACAGTAATTAAAATTCTGTAGGTAGCCGAGTCTCAAAAACTGGCCGCCTTATTGTGTTAGTAGCATGTTTACTTGTTTTAATCTGCTTTGCAAACAGGTGTGCAGACAAATTATGCCTTGCTACAGACATTTCTATCATAGTTCCCAGCTGAGCAGATTCCTGAGTGTCTATAAGCGATTTAAATGTTAACTGGCTCTGTGCCACTAATGTCAAGGTTTTAGAGCTAACACTGGCTGTGCAGGTGCCTGTTGACACTAAATGTAGCTTTGTGGATCAGTGGGTAACCAGGCACGAGACCTGTCTGTTTGTCGGCTGTCACCTTGAGCTGGAGCTTTACACCTGTCAGTATTCCTTTTCATCAATCACTGAGACTCCATGAGCACGAGTTTAACCAAAACGCATGCAGTCAGCTGTTTGTTATCCAAAAATAAACACCTTCAGGATGATACAAGATCACCCTGTCAGGGATAATGATCCAACTGACTGGCCATTATATATTTTGTTGAGCTATTCCTTTAAATTCACTTTGTGTACATAAAGAGAGTGTTTTAGTCGAGAATGCTGGGGTCTCTGTGTTCGAGGTCAAAGTTCACAAGCATGACTCCAGCATGCCTCGGCCTTTCGCTCTGTTTTCATTGTCACTATCAAGTGTTTAGAGATTATTTGTCATTTGAATTTAGACCATCTGAAGAGATATGTTAATATACTCTATACACTACCATTACTTACTAAGTTTGGGCTCACTAAGATTTATAATATTACAATATCAAATAAATACTGTTCTTTTGAACTTTCTATTCAGATCCTGAAAAGAAATATATATAAGAATCCTGAAAGAAATATATCACAGTTTCCACACAAAGAAGCAGCACAATCGTATTCAACACTGAAAATAATAAGAAATGTTTCTTGAGCACCAAATCAGCATACTAGATTCTGAAGAATCATGTGACACTGAAGACTCAAGTAATGGCTGCTGAAAATTCAGCTTTGCCATGACAGAAATAAATCACATTTTAAAATACATTAAAATAGAAAACAGTTATTTGTAATAATATTTTACTGTAACACATAAATGTAGCCTTGGTGAGTATAAGTGACTTCTTTCAAAGGCATTTAAAAAAAATCTTATCAACCCTAAATTTTATAATGGCAGTTTATGTGTACATATTTGTGTGTCACTCAGACAACTTGCAAATGGGAGTGTGTGATTGAGACAAGTCTCTAAGCAGGATTATAGAAGTTGACATAGACACGTCCGACTCTTTTGTCAGCTAAAAGCACAGCAGAGTTCACCCTCACAGCATCTGCACACGCGGGAGCTGCTGTCTGCTGGCACAGGCCTTTGTGTCCACTCACCATCCCATAAGTCTTCTGTCTACACTTATTGTGTCTCTCGGCCAATCAGCATCAAGGCTCTGTCCTTCTGCTCTTCTGCTATTTGCTGAGTGATGGCAGCCATTGTATTATTGAACCCTTGGTGTCTTACAAAACCCTGCTCACTATTGCTGGACAAAGGGCCAACATGGGACAGATGTTATGTTGAAAACACCCCCGCTAAACACACACACACACACACACACACATAAATGATATTGAAGATTCCCATTCAGGAAAGTTCATTAAAATTCTCTACTCACTGTTTTAAGGACCATTTTACACTCCTTTGTGGGATGTTGACCAAAGTGCTTGAATGATGAAATTTGTTTTCCAGTTTCCATTCAGAAGTTTAGACACCTGTAGCTAGAAGTGGGTGTGTGACAGCCTTATTTTAGGGTGTGTGACAGCCTCTTTGTGTATGTGCGGTTTTGTGTGTCTCCTCACAAATAATATTCCACGTTTTAACAATCTTTATCCACTATGACTATCATCCTGAATGGATATCAAATACTGACTAACCGTGAAGTGGGACGATTTAATTAAACCCTTCAGAGAGCTGAAGTGTGCTCTGAATCTTCCCAACACCAGTGAATTACCCTCTTCTAAAGACTGAAAGCCTTTGACAAGCAGCTCTGCCTATGTGAGGCCCACCAACGTGGTTCCCTGTGGCCCAGATTTCTCAGCTCATTTAGCTGAACTGCTTGAAATTAAGCATGCTGGAGAAGTTTGAATGTGAATCAATTATTACAAATTAATTCTATTTTAATATGAGTGGTACTTGCCTGTGCAAAACATGTTGCTAAGATGCAAGAAGTGTCCCAAATGATGCATTATATGCTACACACTTATACTATGCATTGTGTACTCTACCATCTGTGTATGAATTTTATAATGCCATTTTGTCATCCAGCATAAGATTCAGACAGCCCCTCTCTTTCTACTACGTAAGGAAAGCTGAAGAGTGTGTGAAGTGTCCGACATTCCACATTTCATTTATTTATTTTTAAAAAAAAATGTTTCCAGTTAAGTGCATTATCTTGGTATTTGAAGTGCAGTATTACTTGTTGGAATTTTTACTGTGAACACAATACTCACTATTTAAACTACAAAATGGCACAGAATAGTGCAAAAGTATTTATTGCTACTGTATGCAGTTTCTCTGAGTGGTTTTTAGCATGTTGCTATGTGGTTGCTACTGTTGCTAGGGTGTTGTGTGTTGAAGGTGTTTCTATGTCTTGTTTCTATGTGTTGTTTTAAGTTGTCTTGATCGTTAGTGAAGTTCTCCCACATGTTGCTTAGAGAAATGGCACAGTGTTCTTCTGGGATTAATAATCTTTTTAGGATAGGTTTGAATTTAATTAGCTTTAGCACATGGAACATAATCTCAGACCACAACAGAAGTCCCTGTTTGAACTCTCACGTACTCAAAGACAAATATATTCTCTTGATTTATTTTTGCACTGTTTTCTTGTGGTTAGTCAAGAGTCTCATTTGCGAGAGAAAATGGCTTTCAAAAGTACATGATGCTGTCTAACCTGCTCAGCTACAGTAATTACTACCTGTTTGCTGCATGCTAGTTTTATACATTCAGGTTCACCCTGTACACCCATAATGCCACATACATATCTACTCATAATTATGTCTCAGCATTTAATAATGAGGTTGTCTAAAATGTCTCTTTGAGGGTAACTAAAATTATGAATGTAAGGGATAAGATGAATTCTTTATAATAACCAAAGCTTTTTGTTTGACATTTGATATATAAATATCATTGGGTTGCCTTTGTGCATTACCTACAATCACGCTTGCTACTTTAACCAGTCCAGACAATTTCGCTTTACATTTAATAGTCCGATGTTTGTATCACATTGTCATAATAAAAGGCATAAAACTTTCCACAAGATTCCTGTAACCATCTCTAAAATATGCTTGCTCATGCCAAAATGCTGTAGCCTCTTAATAAGATGCAGTCTGTGATATGACAGTCTATAAGTATTCCTAAATATTTAAAACTGCTGGCTGTATTTGTAATGCAGTTGAAGAAAGTGATGGGAACATGGAGTATCTTCACCATCTCCACTGTAAATGACACATCTCATGGCCATTCAGTGAGAGGGAGAGAGAGGGGGGTTGAATATGAGTATGACAGAGGGGACAGGAGGGTGGGAGTGTACAGCAGCTCACGGTCTGTGAGAAGAGCGTGTGTGAGATCAGCCACAAGACAGACATGTTAACGCTAACACGAGAGAGCCATGGAGCCTCACCAGTCTGCGAGTAAGTGTTTGCTAATTGCACACACACACGGGCTTTTCATATAAGCGTGCGTGCGTGTGTGTGTGTGTGTGTGAGAGAAAGGGGGATGGGCAGTGCTTTTGTCAGTGTGTGTGTTCAGTGGCTAACACTAGCTTCAGTGCTGGACTGACCAGATTCTGCTTTGCATGGAAACACGCTTGTTTCTAGGGAGGACATGCATGCTGGCGATGTGCAGATGGTGCATTTTCTCAATTCTAAACAGATATGCACCAAAAACAGGCTGCGAAGATGCATGCATCTGGAATCATGCATTACTAATATTTTATTTATGAAGTATATCTTTCTAAATCCTGTCATCTTTTAAGGCTTTTATGTTTATATTGATGTGATACAGAGGACATCTTGTTTCATTGCCTTATTTCATTGCACCAAATATTTTGAGTGACTGCATGCATGTTATTTTATTTAAGTGTGTTTTCTCTTCAGTTTGTTTGTGATAATGCAAATAGTACTTGTGTTTGTCACAATAAGAATAAACCCTCTGATACCAACACCAAACACTTCAATGCATTGCTGTCACGTGCAGTTGAGTTGTTGTGTGATGTCACTTCTTCCACATCAGCACTCCGGTTTGTTTTGGTCAGACCTCCATTGGAAATGTCACATGACTATGAAGGAATGCCCCCATCCTCTTAGTCACATGACGTCACTCTTAGAGTGGGGTGAAAGCCATCTACATGCTCAGATAGTCCTAACACTGAGTGTTCTGGTGTGGGTTGAATAGAGTGCGACAGACGGACCTGACGTGGGTCATTGCACACTCAGACCTAATAAGAAGCCTTTTGTCCTGTATTGTGTCTTTGTAAACCTCAGCTGGCAGGCTTGCTGTATAGGAATGTTACTAGGTCAAGGAATGTTTCCTTTTTATGTGAACATAAAAAGACAGACCATGTTTTGGTAAAACCGTGTTTCATATCAACAATATTTCAACTTATTTTTTTAAATAATCATTTTTAACTGCAGAAATTGCTTTAGCAAAGACTTTTTTCCCCTATGTGGAAAATACATGGGAAAATGGGAAAAAGGACACTAAAAAAGTGAACAGACACTGTTGCACTCTATAGAAGAAATGATGATTGTGATTGACTACTTTGTTACAGGAAAGCAAATGTCCAACCAATCAAAACTCTTAACTACTGTGAAGTGATGCACACTATGTGATACACAAAAGTTGTTAGAATCGTTTATTTCACTCTTTATTTAGAATATGATAGTTTGTAAGTAATGTAATAATTCATATTTTTATGATTGAAATACTGAAAATTCTAAGTCTGGGTCTAGAATAAGTAAAAAAAATAAAAAATAACAAGATTTCATTCTGTTTTAAAAAGTTTTCTTTTTATGGTGTAAAAGCCAAATGTGACTGAGCAACTCGAGTTCGAGTCCCAGCTTAAGGTCCTGTCCCAATCTTGTACCTCTCTCTCTTATTGCTTCCAGTCTCCTCTTACACTGTTCTATTGAATACCAGCAAAAAATTAAAGATATTGACAGACTGACTGATTGTATTTCAGGGTGAGGAAGCTGAAGGAGACGCTGGTGACAGTGCAGCAGCTGGATAAGAACATGAGTAATCTCCGTACCTGGCTTTCCTGCGTCGAGGGTGAGCTGGCCAAACCCATCATCTACAGCGTCTGCCACAGTGATGAGATACAGCGCAAACTAGCAGAGCATCAGGTAATCTGTGCATTCAATAACAAAACCACTATACGAAACTATGTTTCAAGTACTTATTGTATGCCTTCAAAAAGCACAATGCATTATGAAGCAGATTTATCTAAGCACCGATGCTTTATAGGGTGAGTGTTCATAGCTTTCAGTCACGTGACCGACTCGAAGACTTGGAGGGCAAAACATCCATAGAACTGCAGCACAAGCCTGTCAATTTTCCATCTGTTTCACAGCCGCAAATATTTAGATCACCTCTCAAAAGAATAAAACAAAGGTATGTGAACAAAATGCAAGTTTTTTTGGCCATTTGCAATCCATATTAAGCACCCGCGGCTATATTTTAATCATTAAACAGTGCGACAAAACGTTGTAAAAACACTTAAAGTGCCTTAATATATATAAAACAGTAATGTTAAAATATCAAATTCAGTAATCTCTATATTAATGATGCATAGTTTACATAGGCAAGCAGATGAGGCTGGAATATGATCACAGTCCGCTTAATGGTTCAGTGTTTTCCTTCCAATGGTTTTCTATGGGAAACCATTTAACGTGAAACTTTGCACATTGCATTTATATTCTGGCTTCATCTGCTTGCCTGTACAAAATATACATCATCAATAAGGTGTATACTGAATTTCGCCTTTTAATATCTGCGTTTTACTACATTACTACTTAATGCAAACTGCGTAAAAATAACTGGCGGTCAGTGGAGCAAAGCTTAGTTTTGCCCTCCAAGTGGGTGTTCCTATAAGTGTGTGACGTCACGTGAAAACTATCAATAGGTAAAGAGGGCCACTAAAGCCTGTTCATCTTTACCCGTCATGCATGAAAAAAAAAATACCGTCATGTACCGTGAAACCGGTATAATTTTGAAAAATACCGTGATATAAATTTTTGGTCATACCGCCCAGCACTACCCTTAAGTGTATGTTCCTCCATTGGTAAAAATGAACATGACGTTTCTCCTAATGTGGGATGGCTTTTTGCATTATTTTGATGTCTTAGCAATGTCATCTTTCTTAGACGATTGATAATTTGATGAGTTTTTTGGTATACGTTAGTCTTAGGCCCATTCACACCAAGAATGCTTAAGCTCTTTAAATCAGGATGGATTTTGAAATTGCTTCCAATGATATGGTTATGATTATAGTTGTGGTGTGGACTTTATTATTCTCATAGAATTAGAACGATTATTAGAACTTTATAGTTATCGGCCTTGGTGTGAACGGGCCTTTAGAGTGTGATTTTGTTGGTCTCCACTAGGACTTGCAGAGAGACATCGAACAGCACACAGAGGGTGTGGCATCTGTTCTGACCCTGTGTGATGTTTTGCTGCATGATGCGGATGCTTGTGGCAGCGATGGAGAGAACGACTCCATTCAGCAGACCACTCTCAGCCTGGACCGCCGCTGGAGGAACATATGTGCCATGTCTATGGAGAGGAGAATGAGGTCAATACAAACACCCATATTAGCATGTTTGGCGGCATCAGTGTCACTAATTTGTTTTTTTTTCTCTGACCACTGTATTCTATACTGTCCCCTGCAGGATTGAGGAGACATGGCGTCTGTGGTGCAAGTTCCTGGATGACTATTCACGCTTTGAAGTGTGGCTGAGCACGGCAGAACGTACAGCAGCCAACCCTGCCACCAAAGATGTACTCTACACCTGTGCTAAAGAGGAACTCAAAAAGTTTGAGGTTTAGATCTTTTTAAGGATTTTTCACTAATAGTATCTTGTTCATTGTCTCAGTAATAGAATAAAAGAACCATTTTTGGTTCCTCGAAGAACCTTTCAGTGAACCATTCTTAAAAGAGCCATTTTGTTCTTAGTGGAAAGAACATTTTAATATTCAACTATAAAACTTTCCAACTAGACAGAACCTTTAATGCAATATAAAGGTTCTGTAGATGTTTAAGGTTCTTCATGGAACCACAGATGCCAATAAATAACTTGTTTTTAAGAGTGTAGTGGCTTTTGCATTTGTCATTATCTAGACATAATCTATTGGACAATTAACACTTTTTAAAACTTGCACACACGCAGGCATTCCAGCGCCAGGTCCATGAGCGCCTGACACAGCTGGAGCTGGTGAACAAACAATACCGACGTCTGGCACGAGAGAACCGGACAGATGGTGCCAGTAAGCTGAAGCTGATGGTGCATGAGGGAAACCAGCGCTGGGATACGCTACAGAAGAGAGTGGCCGCTGTGCTCCGCAGGTTAAAGGTCAGACTTGGGTCCTACACTACTGTTCAGAAGTCATTAATATATATATTTAAATTAATTAATTATTTTATTAAGCCAGAACACAATAAATGCTTCTAAAGTGACAATATAACATTCATAATGTCACAAACGATTTCTATTTGAAGTAAATGCTGTTTTTTTACTTTCTATTCATTAGAGAATCCTGAAAAATAAAGTTTGAAAGAGTTTAAATAATAATATATAGCAGCAAAATGTTTCTTGAGCAGCAATTCAGCATGTGAGATTGATTTCTGAAAGATCATGTGACACTGTAGACTGGAGTAATGACTGAAAATTTAGCTTTGCAATCACAGGAATAAATTACATTTTAAAATACATTACAATAGAAAATAGTTTAATCATTTAAAATAGTTATTTTAAATTGCAATAATATTTCACAATACTATTTTTACTGTATTTTTACTCAAATATATGCAGCATTGGTGAGCATAAGAGACTTCTTGAAAACATAAAAATAAATCTTACTGATCCTAAAGTTTTGAACTGTACTTTTTAATATATATAAAATTCTCAAATACTGACTGGTTTGGAAATGGCACCTAATAAACCTAAAAACCTGTAAGAATGTTCAAATTAATTGCATCTCTGACCTTCAGTTCTTTGTTTCCATGATAACAAAGTATACTTTTTTGGGGCAAAACTCAATTTTCTAAAACGTTACTGAGCTCTAAATGCTTCTCCTCTGTGCAGCACTTCACATCCCAGCGTGAAGACTTTGAAGGAACAAGGGAGGGGATTCTGGTCTGGCTGACTGAAATGGACCTTCAGCTCACCAATGTGGAGCATTTTTCAGAGAGTGATATCCATGAAAAGATGCGTCAACTAAACGTCAGTACACTCTGATTTTATGTAAAAATTGCTATTGTAACTATTAAACAGTTAAACAGGTTGAATAAGTCTGGTCACACAGTCAGAGTGAAAAATAATTTGTTATTTGATTCCTGCAGGCATTTCAGCAGGAGATCACTCTAAACACAAATAAGATTGATGCTCTGATTGTATTTGGAGAGAACCTGATCCAGAAGAGTGCTCCACTGGACGCTGTACTCATCGAAGATGAACTAGAGGAGCTGCACTCTTACTGCCAGGAAGTGTTTGGCAGAGTCGCCCGATTCCACCACCGTCTTATCAGCAGACGCCCAGTCAGTTTGAAAAGACCCATCTCACAAATGCTGAACAATACACTCTTGACTGATTACTAACTTTTACCCTTCCCACTAGGTGCTTGAGGAGGACAGAGAGTTCTCAGACAGAGACACAGATCCGGAGGACTCGGCTGATTTCAGTGGGGTGTCGGAGAGAGAACAGGAGGAGGAAGAGGAGGCTGCTATGAGCTCTGATGTTTCTCTGACAGTACGCCAGGCCGTATCCCAGCTGTTGCCACCTGCTCTGGAGCGCTCAGGGCGTGAGACGCCCGTCAGTGTGGATTCAATCCCACTGGAATGGGACCACACCGTCGATGTGGGAGGATCTTCATCTCCAGAGGATGATGAGGAGTTGACGTTCTACAGCGCCCTATCAGGTACCTCTTTATAGACTGGTCTCTGTTGCTCTGTTAAAGTATATCTAGATCTGTCTGTCTGTTATAGACCGCTCTGTTCGTGTTTCTAGATCTCTCTGTTTGCTATATGCTGTGTTATTATTCTTTGTCTCTTACATGACACTCTTTTAGAGTGCCTAGATCTGCTGCTCTGTTTAAGTCTATGTAGATCTCTTTATCTGTTATCTGCTGCACTTTTAGGTAAATGTAGAGCTCTTTTTGCCGCTTCCTTAACTGTCACCGTCCCACCTGTGGGACGCTTGGCGCTCTTTTATTTGTTGTCCTTTTTCTCTATCAAATGTTTTAGTAATCATCAAAAATTATATATCGTTTGAAAGCTAAGAAGCCCAAGATTCATCCTGTGAAAACCATTTTAAAATCGAACATTGCGTTACCATGGAAATGGTACTTTAAAATGTTTTGGCGGTCTCCTCCCCCTTAGCAGGCAGTGTCAAGAGTCATATTACAAAAATGCATTACAGAAAATTCAAAAATCTAAACTTTTTATAATCTTGACAAAAAACATATCATTGGAAAGGTCTGAGTCTCAGGATTACATATTTGGTGGTATTTTGTGATGGAAGCAATATTGACAGAGAAATTTCAACATATGTGACAGAAAAATGCATTAAAAAAATTCAATGGAGTTTGGATGGCACCCGGTGGCGGTTTGTGGTATAACGCCCCAAAATAAAATCTCACAGAAACCTCAATTTTTTTCATATCAACTTCAAATTTGAAACATAACTTATTTAGACAGAAGGCTTAAATGTTATATCAATTTTAGAGTAAAACCTGTTCTGTAAAATATTTATTATATATAAAATAAAATAAAATTAGTACAGTGTATTTTCTTTACAATAAATTTAAACTTCTATAACTTTTTGATACTTTAATTTATTTTTTTTATTCTACTTTTGCCATAATCTGCTGCTTGTCTTCTTTACAAAGAGACCAACCTTAGGGCTGTATTCCAAAGTGGTCATAAATTACAACAATTTAAGTTTGGATAGTGCACGTTCATGCCTATTTTAAAAAATGGGGGGTGACAGTTAAGGGGTTAAAGAGAATCTAGATTATCTAGATTAGAGTCATTCTACAATTTAGGGTGCATTTCATGTCCAATTTTCTCGAGTTTTACAGGTCCAATAATAATGTCATTATATTTTTTCTAAAAACTTTCTATTCATTTTTATCGCATTTTATTGCTTGAAATTGCCTTTATGTCCCTTAAATTATAGTTGTTGCAGTGTCCGTTATTGTTTGATTGGGTTCAAAATAATGAATAAAAAAAAAGTTAGTCACTTTTGTCTATATTAAATTTATTTCTAAAATCTGAATCATTCAGAAAAAAGGCTTTTTAAATTGTTTGGATTTAATTTTCTTTGAATTGTCGACGTCGATGGCCTCGTGGGCAGCGCGCCGACATACAGCGCCATTGCGCTTCGGGTGTCACGAGTTCGAGTCCTGGCTCGCGGACCTTTCCCGATCCCATCCCCCTCTCTCTCACCCACTTCACTTCTTGTCGACCTATACTGTCCTATCTAAATAAAGGCATAAAACACCATAAATAAACCTTTAAAAAAAAAAAAATTTATTTGAATTAAGAAAATATTTGTCTGCTTACATTGTCAACTTTTGCCTCAACTTGCTAGTAAATTTAACAACCAATTACAGAGAAATTGCAAATAACACATTGAATTAAATATGTATAGTATATGTATAGAAAAACTGAAATAGTATTTTTTTTAACACTCTAACAATCTTTATTTACAACTTTTGTTTTATTTACAATTTTTTTACATTGTTATATTAAAATGGTGTAATAATAATTAAGCTTGGCAACTAGTTGGTGTAAAATGTTACACTGATGAAATATATAAAGAAAGCAATAGTCGTTTTGTTAATAAAGCATATTGGGTAGCACTTTAAAATAAGGTTCCATTTGTTAACTCTATTTAATGCATTAACTAACAATGAGCAATACATTTGTTACAGTATTTATTCATCTTTGTTGGCATTAGTTAATAAAAATACAGCTGTTCATTGTTAGTCCATGTTAGCTCAGGTCCATTAAATAACATTAATATAACTTGATTTTAATAATAAATTTAGATTTTGTTGCTATGAAATGTTCCCCCAATTATAGAGTGATCCATATGATGAATTAGGTTATCTACGCTCTGTTATTCACTGCTCTGGTAATGTATCTACCGCACATCATCCTGTTGTCTGCTGCTCTTTTATACTGTATCTTGACCTCTCTGTCTGATATTTGACTCTCTATTAGTCTAGATGTCTGTTATTTGTCTGTTATAGTGTCTCTAGATCGCTGTCTGTCTGCCGCTCTTCTCTTGCAGATGTAGAAGTCACTGAGAGCTCTCAGTTATTTTTTAAAGCTACATCTAAAGCTCTGAAGGCTGTGTCCGGTAGGCATCAGCCTGCTGCATGCTGTCAGCACTCTCACTGCACATTACATGCTGCTTTAGCATAAGTGACATGTTTCCTTCCTTAATCTCTAAATATAATAGACATTTTTTGCTTTGTGCTCACTGCCTGGCTGGTTAACAACTTCATCTCTCTAGCAGCTGCCCATGTTCTTGAAATCCCATGATGCTTGTTTTTATGTTTGCCAAGAATCTTCCTCTGAATGTGATTTGCATTACAGATGTTTTTCATAATGCATGTCGGTTTTGCGACCAATTGCATCTTTATTCTTTTTTTGTTTCTGTAGCATGCCTGTTCAACTGAGTGATGACTTTTTGCATGCTTGTTTTGATTGGTATTAGGAGTTAAAATATCTTGCTCTGTCTCTCGTTTAGGAGGAAGGTCAGTGGTGGAGACGTGGCACTCTCCTGATGCGCCAGACAGGAAGCGAGCGAACAGAGAGATTATACGCAGTCTCACATCCTCGCCCACAGACACCAGCGCTCCGTATCACCCACAGGCCTATGTGAGTACTCACACATGCATCACACTCACTAAGCACACTTTAACATTGGCACACACATATAAACACATTTTGTGTTCTATTTCCTCTCTCTCATCCTTCAGGATAAACTCATGTCTGAGTGTGCTGGCAGTATAGACAGTATAAAGCGAGTGAAACTGATTCTGAGCGAGGAAGAACAACTGGACGATCAGGGTTTGACGGTCCTCTCCGCAGCAGATAAGATGGGTACTGCTATATTTGTATTATGTACACACACTTTTACAGACATGTTCATACATCAGTTGAGTTTCAGTGACATCTTACCTTTGTCCTCGGATCTGTGGCCTCAGGTGTGATTGAGCGATGGGAGCTCTAAGACAGGTATTGCTATTTGTAATACTTTTACAGAAATGTTCATACATGAGTTGAGTTTCAGTCATATCTGACCTTTGCACTCTGATCTGTGGCGTCAGGTGTGATCGAACGATGGGAGCTCCTGCAGGTGCAGTCGTGCAGCATGCCGCAGGATCTTCAGCAGTGGCACAAACTCAACTCTGACCTCTCTGATGTCATGGCATGGCTGAACGCTGTGATGCCTGAGCTAGAGAAACTTCAAACTCTACAGCCAAAAATCACCATCAGAGACATGGAGAGCAATATCCACAAACTAAAGGTACTGAGAGAGACATTTAAAGAGTGATAGAATCACACACAAACAAAGTTAATAAAACTGTAAGCCACTTGAGAGAGTGCATGTACATTATATTAATATGTGTGTTAATATTAATTTATATTAATATATTTTTTTCTTTTATAATGTTCTTTTGAACTTTCAATCGAGCGATGGGAGCTCCTGCAGGTGCAGTCGTGCAGCATGCCGCAGGATCTTCAGCAGTGGCACAAACTCAACTCTGACCTCTCTGATGTCATGGCATGGCTGAACGCTGTGATGCCTGAGCTAGAGAAACTTCAAACTCTACAGCCAAAAATCACCATCAGAGACATGGAGAGCAATATCCACAAACTAAAGGTACTGAGAGAGACATTTAAAGAGTGATAGAATCAGACACAAACAAAGTTAATAAAACAGTAAGCCACTTGAGAGAGTGCGTGTACAGTATATTAATATGTGTGTTAATATTAATTTATATTAATATATTTTTTTCTTTTATAATGGTGTTCTTTTGAACTTTCGATTAATCAAAGAATCCTGAAAAAAAAAATGTATCATGGTTTCCACAAAAATATTAAGCAGCTGTTTTCAACATTCATAATAATAAGAAATGTTTCTTGAGCAGCAAATCAGCATATTAGAATGATTTCTGAAGGATCATGTGGCACTGAAGACTGGAGTAATGGCTGCTGAGCATTCAGCTTTGCCATCACAGGAATAATTACATTATAAAATATATTAAAATCGAAAGCATGTTTTTATTGTACGGTAATAATTTTTCACAATATTATTTTTACTGTATTATTAGTCAAATAAATGCAGCTTTGCTGAGCATAAGAGACTTCTTTCAAAAACATTAAAACATTTTACAGACCCCAAACTTTTGAATGGTAGGGTATATTATTTAGGCATATACTGTATAGGTTAATTTTGTCATTTTGTTCTTTCATAAGGACATGCAGAGGACTTTTAACGGCTACAAATCAGTGATGATTGGTGTTAATCTCAGTGGGCGGGGCTTCCAGCACGGAGACAGCACTGAGCTACGAGAACTGCGTGAGAATCTGCAGTCAGCCAATCAGAAATGGGCACAGGCCCGTGTGGCCCTGGACAGCTGGGAACACCGACTGCATCAAGCACTCATGGAGTGTCAGGTGAGGAAAAACAAGCTTGCAAAGCGACACTGATACCAGAGTTCAGACAACACAGCAAAGTACCATGAGTGTTGTGTTTTGTTTTGTTGTGCAACTGCAACACAACATGTGTTTAGTAAGCACATGTCTGTGCACTCACACACATTTGCATTTGTTACTTTTTGTGAAAAAGGTTTTAGAAATGTTGGGTACATGTTCTTGAAGCTACAGTATACCATTACAGAGATGTATCAAAGGTCTAAAATGCCATTTAATTAAAAAAGGGGGGTATTCTCAGGGCTTATTTAAAAATTGTTTGCCATTTTTTTCAGTAACTTCCTGTAGGGCTTTTGTAAAGGTCCTGATATAGTGAAGCCTAAATCAAACACACAAGCACCATTTAATGAAGAGAAACTGAGACTCATCTGTGTATTCCGTTTTCTTTTTTCACAGGAGTTTCATGAGACTCTTCACTCTCTGCTGCTGTGGTTAGCTAAAGCAGAAAGCCAGCGCTACATGGTCAACATCCATGACCAAAACACAGACCTCAACATCCTGCAAGAGCATCAAGACACACTTAAGGTAAGAATAGTGTGTTTACGATATCTAAACATGTCCCCACAAAAATAATGATATTTGATGAAAAAATCCGTTAAATCCATTTTAATAATAGCAATAACTGTTAAGTTGATAAAGTTGTTGTCTGTGCATAATAGGCTGTTCAGCAGGACTTACAGTCTCGTGAGAGGGAGGTGTTCTGCCTGCAGGAGATCTCCTCACAGATCCTGCTACAGGACCATGGAGAAGACACCCTGGAGGCCAAAGAGAAGGTTCACGTCATCAGCAACAAGTTACGACTGCTGATCAGACAAATCGCACACGACCTGCACACACTGCAAAGCAGACTGGTAAGTTTCATTCAGTCTCACACACACACAAGCACTCTTCAGGCCAGGCTGGTTTCACTCTCTCATACTGATGTGTTGATCCCTTCTGTTCTGTCGCAGGACTCTTCAGGTCAAGATGTGGGCAGGACAGCACCAACACAACACCAGGTACAAAAGCGCTCTCTCCATTAACACCCTGTTCAGACTGGAAATTACAAGGATCTGACTTAGTTTCTGGTGAAATAAATTGGTGTTATTTACAGAGTCTGCTCTTGGGGAGTTAGGTTTTGAAAGTGACAGTAAATGAGGGTTTTCTAAGAATCTCTAGTCTGTTTTTATCATGCTTACTAGATGGTAACAAACATGGAGTTATTTTTCTTCTCTCTCTAGGAAGCCGCAGGAGTTGTTACACAGGGATCTCCCGCGAGTGTCAGGTACACGCTGTTCTATACGTATATATATGTTACTATGTGTCTGTGTTCAGTTGTGTGATTTTATAACCTAGCTGAGGTCGATGTCTTCTAGTACTCTCTTCACACTCTCTAGTTCTTCTCACTTTCACACATCTGCTCCGCTTTCACCATGTTTTTGAGAAAAAGTCTCTTATGCTTATTAAGGCTGCATTTATTTAATCCAAAATACAGTAAAACAGTAATATTGTGAAATATAATTGCAGTTTAAAATACTATTTATACTAATTTACTAATAACTATTTATACTAGCCATTACTCCAGTCTTCAGTGTGACATGATCCTTCAGAAATCATTCTAAAATGCTGATTTAGTGCTCAAGAAATATTTATTATTATTAATGTTAAAAACCGTTGTTCTGCTTAATGTTTTTGTGGAAACCAGTTCAGGCTTCTTTGATGAATAAAAAACAGAATCAGAATCAGAAAGAGCTTTATTGCCAAGTGTCTTTACACACACAAGGAATTCGTCTTAGTGTCAGGAGCTTCCAGTACAAATTGTAACAATACAAAAGTCTTTACTGTCACTTTTGATCAGATGCATCCTTGTTGAATAAATGTTTATTTAAAAAATATGACAAAACCCAAACTTTTGAGCAGTAGTGTAAAACATCTACCCTTCCTAACTGTCTTTTCTGCAGGGCTGATATGTCTAATTCGTCCCCAGCGAGGCCGTTCCTATATCGTGTCCTGCGAGCGGCTTTCCCCCTCCACATCCTCTTCCTGCTGCTGCTGGTTGTGGCGTGTCTGGTGCCTCTCTCAGAGGACGACTACAGCTGCACTCTCTCCAACAACTTTGCCCGATCCTTTTACCCCATGCTCCTCTACACCAACGGACCCCCACCCACATGAAAATGACCACACGTACCCTTCACTAACACACGGCCACAGCTCAATCACTAGAGGAAATAGGATGTAGTCCAAGCCTCCTGGTTAACTCTCCTGAAGCAGATCCTGTAGCTATGTTTAATCTGAGTGAAAGCCCTTGTGTTTGAGATTCAATAGATTTTCCTGCAACAATCAAATCCTGTTCCTGGATCTGAAGTCTGTTACACAGAGGGAGAGGGATTTTTCTCAAGCAATCCGAACCTTCTCTTCAGGAACCTTTCCTCATGATGTATATCTTAGAGAATGACAAGGATTCCTCATCAAAGGTGCACTCATTTTCTAACTGTATAGTATGTAGCAGCACATCCATTGAAACATTGAAATACTCCTTCACACAAATGCATTTATTTTTGAAATATGAATGATACGTAATTGAACCTATAGCTCACTCATAGGCTTTGAGTTGGCCTGTATTTTTTAACTAGAAGTCCTGTTTATATGTCTGAGTGACGGGACTTGCTTAAATATCAGTTATGTTCATACAGTGTCAAATTACTTGCAATGATGAATATATTTTATTTGTAGCTCTCTTAGCTGTCATTTCTTGGTCAAAGCCATGGAGGAGAGACAGAGAGAGGCATCAGGGTGTGTGCAAATGTAATAGTCCTTTAATTTATTCAGCCTAAAGTTTGGTGGCTGTGTTGATTTCGTGTGTGTGAATATTGTAAAACAACTGAAATTATTTAATTATAATTGGTAACTGATCTCAGTGGAGATATAAATTATATCTGATTATGTTTTATAGATTATAACTAGAATTTTTCTGGTAGGAAAGTCTGGTGTCCAGATGTGTTTGTGTCTGGTGTGTTTTTTGCTGAATGGTTAAGGTGTCTCATAGAAACACATTTCAGAAGTATCCACATGATTGTATGTGGCTTTTTTAACCTACAGAAAGTCAGTTATGATGATGATGATAATATAGTGAAAAGGCCATTAGTCACGCTTTCACTCGTACTAACTGCCAAAGTGTCAGAGACTTTGTTTTCTAATTCATTACGGTTACTAAAAGAGTGCTGTTTGTCCTGTTGTTTGTTTAATGTTTTTAATTGAATTGTTATAGTATGGATTACATTATGGGTCTTCTGAAATAGACTATGAAATAAATATCCAGTAATCAATCACAGAAAAAACATTTACTTTATTATGAATTTATTTTGCAGCAAACCTTGCACTGCCAGTGTCAAACAATGGTTGAAGAGAATATAAAGTTAGATGTGATGTTTGTTTTGAAGTCAATTTTACTACAAATAAACATCATGTACAAATATGCAAGTGTTCACTCATTTAATTCCCACATATTTATTTTGCAGTTGTATACAATAAAAAATGACTTCAGTTTTGCTACCTCTAGAAACTTACTGTTGTGTCACTGTATAATCAGTATTCCCCCCCGTTTAAAGCTGAAGTGTGCAATTTCTTTTCAGTTACCTCAGTTTAACCAGATAACTATAAGTAGGTTAATTCCCCAAAAACTGTAAACACAGTGGAGCTATTAAAAAGCTAATTTGAGCATTTCAACCTGCTCATCCAATCGCATGAGTTTAGGACTGTGTTTGTCCAACCAATGCCAGATGAGGGAGTGTTTGGGAAAATGGTTCGAAAATGACTTTCATGCTGCGTTCCAAACAAGATAACCACCTCTGAAGGGCACTTCAGAAAGAAGAATTTCAAAGGGGAACAACTGACACTGTGCTGCCATGATTTTTTGCACAGTTTTAAATGTGACTATGCCTCCTTAATTTGCTTGGCAGGATGACGCAGAAGTGCACACCCTTCCTAGCGCTCACTCAGGAGGGTAAACCCTTCAAAGGGATAAGAACATTGGGACGAGCCCTTAAGGATAGAACGCAGCATTGTAATACTATTTGGTGACGTGTGCAGAAATTATACACTCAGCTTTAATTCCAGTTTAGGACACTTCAGGTGCAGAAAGTTTTACACAAGGAATTGTGTCAGGATGCACCGTTACATGTAGCACCAGGAAAACTCAACTGCATCTGTAATTACACATTACAAAGTCACATTTTCAGAATGATACACTTTTCATATGTTGATTGTGCGTATAAGCCAGGCTTCAAGAAAACATCTGAAAGAGGCATCAACACTCACAGATGTTTTAGAAAGTGTTACATTTACTGTCAATGACAAGTACTTAATAAACCACAAAAAGCACCACAGGACAGCAAATAACAGCACTCCAACATCTTACAAATACAAAGACACAGAGTACAAAATGCATAAACTATTAGAAGTGTGCATTTCATTTAGCTTGACCAGTCTTCAGAGAAACAGTCATTTTGAGCCAAAGGTTCTCAGACATCTTGGATGGCAAAGAAAATGTTTAAATGTGCAGTGTGTAATTTCGACAATCTGTTTGAATGGCTCAAAAGGACACAACGTAACACTGGCTCATCCAATGGTGCGATTTAGGGGTGGTGGTGCTAGCTTTTTGCTGAGAAATGGCAGATGGGGGAGTGTTTGAAAGGATTCCATTTGTGATTTCTTGAATACTGAACACATGATTGGTTTGAATGAGGAGGATTCCTCTTCGGGTTGACATTACGGCATATAGAAAAACAACAGTTTAAACTGCATTGTGTTGAAGCAGGACTGAGAGCCATTTGAAAGCCCTGTTTGGTTCAGTTTGTCGCTGGTCATCTAAAGTTCTGTTTCCCCTGAGATCCTACATAGGATACGCGGCATGGAAATTGGATTCAAATCCAATGCTGGATCCAGGGAGCTTTTTACCCCACAGAAGGGATACTCACTGTCAGTCTGTGTCCATGTCCACTCGATGCGGACTACAATGTAATGTCTTATCCACTGTCTCTTCAGCTCTAGAGAGACACACACAATATGTGTTATCTTAGATTCGAAACCCTGTGTGAAAAGTGTCATTTTAAGAAATATATAATGATTCATTTGATTGCACTAGTTGAAGGAATGTTCCAGGATCGGCATGTTACAGTCTATTTAACGTAATTTGTAAAACCGTATGAACAGGAAAGGACTAAATTTGCAAGCTTGGGGTCGGTAAGAGGATTTTTTTTTTACGTTTTTAAAGGTTAACTTTTAAAAGGCTGCCGTTATTTGATCGCGTGCGTGAACGCGCTGATGACGTATCCTGTCTGCGCGAACCAGGTGCGCAGAGGTATGCAGATACTTACGTTGACAGGCAGGTAGAAAAGCATATTAAAACGCTCGGACCGAGCGTTTTGATTGGACGAACATTTCTTGGTCCTACGCCTTCCACAGAATATATAAATACAGACAAATACATTTAGACCACTTAAATTAATGATTGCTATCGGGATGTGAAGAGACTTTCAACCAGCATAACAAAAAATGTTTCTGAAGACAATCACCTATTGCACCTTTAAAATTACTTTTTTATTTTAATATATTTCAAAATGCTATTTATTCCTGTGATGGCAAAGCTGAATTTTCAGCATCATTACATGATCATCCAGTCTTCAGTGTCACATGATCCTTCAGAGATCATTCTAATATGCTGATTTGCTGCTCAAGGAAACATTTATTATTATTATCAGTGTTGAAAATTGTTGTGCCGCTTAATATTTTGCGTAAACCATGGTTATTTTTTTTCAGGATTTGTTGATGAAGAGAAAGTTTAAAAAACAGCATTTATTTGAAATCGAAATCTTTTCTAACAGTAAACTGTTTTGCAACAAAATCAAAGTCTCTGCTGTCACTTTTGATCAATTTAATGCCCCCCCCCCCCCGTTTGAATGGCAACCAGTTACATAAACTCTTAATTATCATTTGGTTATCTTGTAGTTACCTTTTGATAAACTTGTGAGTGGATTTTTCACGCAATAGGATTTCTGTATTACCAAAAACAGCACAATTCAACACAAGTGTGCATGTATCCACTCACTGTGGACTGTGCCGGGACTCCTGGTCGCTCTGTCTGGATGTGTGGAGGATCTCTGTGGTCTGTTGTGTGTCCGACCGGAGAGAGGCTTTTGTGTGAGCCGCTAGCATCCGGCTGCTTTGGGATGTGTTGGCATCCAGCATCTCTAGCAGAAGATCATACAGCAGCACCACGTTTTTTCTCTTCATGGTTGACAGATGCTCAATGCCTTTGTTGCTGCAGACAAGAGATGAAGAGAACAGTGAGCCAGTGACAGATGAGGGGAAAATTGAAACATGAAATGCTATGAAAGTCTAGAATACGGCCTCTGTGAGATCACAAACAGTCTGCTGTGCTACCTGAGGTGTCGAATATGTGAGAGCAGCATCAGCAGATGGGCGAGCCGGATGGACTGCTGCTGTGAGGACAAGCCTGTTCTGGAGATGGTCCAAACTAAAGCGTCAGTCACAGAGTCCAGCAGCCTCAGAACCTTCCCACGGCTCTCCACATCTTCAGGAGTCTGTGGCAAGCTTGAACAGTTATCTGTTAATAAGCACACAAAAGGAGTGAAGCACAATATCTGATGTGGTTCAAGAGAAAACAGATCATTTTGTGACAATTTCAGTGAACAAAGGTTACCGTCTAGACAATCTTTTCATAGAATCAGCAATCAGACTGCAGTTTTAACCCTGTAAAACCTGACATATGAAATAATAGTCTGAAAAAAAACTCTGCATATATGGATCATGTTTTGTTGTGTGATATAGTGAGAATAAGGAGCTCATATTCAAGGGAAAACATTTTCATTTTCACCTCAATTTTATTTAGAGGCCCAAACTGAGCAAAAATATGCAGTTTGGTGCAGATATTATTTATATAACCAAAAAATAAAATGAAATTCTGATGGCTTATAATGTAAATGTAATGTAAATCAATAATTTTTTCGTAACAGTATAGCAGACTACTAAGCGCATAAAATATCGCTCTATATCTCTAGATAATAGATCTTAGTAATATGATATTTAAAAGCTTAGTTTTATGATCAAAACATATAATGCCATGCAATACAATAATGAATAAGAGATGTACAAACAAACATTGATCATATTTTAAACTCAGATTTCAACACAATTTTTCTAAAAAATGATGTATGTATAATCAAATAAACCTAAGTTGCTTCAGCCTAGTAAATGTTCATCTTTAAATATTACTAACTATATAAAAGTTATTTTTGCAATTACTTTAGAAAAATCATTAAGGATTTTACAGCAAAAAGACGTGTACCACAACATTAAGGAGGACATGTTTACAATTGTACTAAAAGGCCTTTTACTTTGTTTTTCAATACTGCATGTTTTTCAGCAAAGTTTTGATCATGTTGATTATTTAAGGGGCCTTAGGTATTCATATATCAAATATGATATAACAGGCTTTATAGGGTTAAAACACAAGAGGGCGGCATTGGCAGGAGACCACTGACCAGTCATGTAAATCAAAAGCTTCTGTTTTTGAACAACATGCTAAATATAGTTAGCATGTTGTAATTAGCATGCCCTACAGTTACGTGAAGAAAAAACAAGATACAAACCCCAAAATGAAAATTCTGCCATTAATTACTCACCCTCATGTCGTTCCAAACCCATAAGACCTTCGTTCATCTTCGGAACACAAATTAAGATATTTTTTATGGAATCTGAGAGCTGTCTGACCCTGCATAGACAGCAACGCAACTGTAATGTTTCCAGGTCCAGAAACGTAGTAAGGACATCGGTAAAACAGTCCATGTGACATCAGTGGCTCAACTTCAGTTTTGCGAAGCTACGAGAATACTTTTTGAGCACAAAGAAAACAAAAATAATTTATTTAACAATTCTTCTCCCCCGAGTTACGTCTTCCGCCATTTTGGAGAGTACCCAAGAACGTAATCGACGTAATCAGCGTTGTTTACGTTCGGGGGAGAAAGCGCGCGCATGAACGTAATCTGTGTAATCAGCGTTGTTTGCGTTCGGAGGAGAAAGCGCGTGCATGAATGTAATCTGCGTAATCAGCGTTGTTTACACTTAGGGGAACGCGTGCATATGCATTGTGATACTTTAAAATGTCGGAAGACCTATCTCGAACGTAATCTGTGTAATCAGCGTTGTTTGCGTTCGGAGGAGAAAGCGCGTGCATGAACGTAATCAGCGTTGTTTACACTTAGGGGAAAGCGTGCATATGCATTGTGATACTTTAAAATGTCGGAAGACCTATCTCGGGGGAGAAGAATTGTTGAAAAAATTATGTTTCGAAGATGAATGAAGGTCTTACGGGTTTGAAACGACATGAGGGTGAGTAATTAATGACAGAATTTTCATTTTGGGGTGA